ATACTTCATACAAAGTAGCATTAAATATATAATAGTCCAAACAATTTTTAAACATTATTAAGTTAACATAATATAGAAATATAAAACTTTAATCAACTTTTGGGAATAACTATTGGTCGAACTAAAAATATAAATAGATAATAAAATAGATAACCTAAGTAACACATATTTTCAAGCGTATTTCCCAAACATCCTTTTGTTAAATAACTACAACAAAAATAATTACTTAAGTCTACTATTTTATAAAATCTTTAAAAAAAATATTGCCACATAATCATATGAAGTAATACAGAATGAAATAAACTCATTATTAAATGTTTAACAACTATATAACTATATTGTATCGACTATCATACTACCATACTTTAAGTAGATAGTTTAATTATAATATTTAATTTTGTTGAGTTTACAGGATGATTGTAAGCAGTAAAAAAAAAATAAAAATTATCTTGATATTAAAGATATTAATAATCATAGTAAGAACACTAAATATTTGATTGATTGTGTAAGTAAACTCTAATCTATAGCACAAATTATAAAACAATGTAAAATGTTTCTTCAAAAAGTGCATGATGATGATATTCCAAATCCCATTCATTTTTTAACAATGAGTATTGAAATGATTTATTCTGTTAAAGAAAAGTCAACTATGTATATACAATCTACTTCTAATATTATATCTAAAGAATTTACTTCAGATAAATTATTTTCTACGAATGAAAAAGTAGTTGATAAATTATTAAACTATGACCCTGGTAGTTAAACAATAAAAATCGAATCTGCTTCACAACGTAATTATTTATTAAGTCTAGGACCTTACCAGCTTCTTGATTATACATTTCCAACTAATTATGACATAACTAAAGGAAAACAAAGACAATTAATTTAACAAATTTAATTTAATTCAATTTAATTCAAGTCAGTTTAAGGAATATCCTCGTTTGGAATATAGTATTTGTTGTGATACGGCATTCTGTTTTATTTGTTCTATTTTCCAAATGGACAAAACAGAGCACATGCTGAAAATAGTTTGACAGTGGATGAAGTTAAAAATTGGTCAAAAATGAAATCAAGGGGTAAAGGGAAACCCGAAAAATTAGAATTACATTTATCATCTAATGCACATAAATCAGCTTTAGTTGATTTTAGTTACTTCACTTTAAATTGCAATCATATTGATAAACTGCTAAATAAAGAAAACAGACAAACTGCATTAAAAATAAGTGCACAAAAACAATTTCATAAAGATGTCATTAAAATATTATTTAATGTAACACACACATTAGCACGACAAGAGTTATCATTCCGAAGAGACAGGAATAAAAATGATAGTAACTTTAATCAAATAATATTAATTCTCTTACTTTACTTCCCAACTATGAAAACTTGGTTAGAAGAAACAGCAGTTTGTCCATATCATATAACTTATATGAGTCATGATTCACAAAATGAATTTATTCATTTATTAGCAAATAACACAAAAAAAAAATTGTATTAGAAGTAAAGAAAGCTGAAATATATCCTGCTATGGCAGACATCACGCCTGATCTTTCAAATTATAACCAAATATCTGTATGTGTTCGATACATAGACACTAATTCAAAAGTATGGGAACAATTAATTGAAATAATAGAAACTCAAGATAAAACTGGAAAAGGTAATAACATTTTTTATATTTTTTCATAAGAAACTATCATTATGCGGATATTTTTAAAAAATAAATTTATGATTTCGAATATATTTAAATTAATAAAATGTTTTTGATATTTCTTTTTTAGGTATGGCAAATAAAATTTGTGAAATATTAACACAAAATGGATAACAACTTGGTAGTATAGCTTTTTAATCATATGATTTTGCTTTTAATATATCAGGCCGTGTATAAGGAACTCAAGCAATCTTTCTAAAATAATTGGTCATAATATACCATATATTCCATGTCAAGCACACCGTTTAAACACATTTGTGATGCCAATATTATTATTGCTGAATAATTTAACACAGAATCCTCATAAGTATTTGTTTCTTCAAGCACTAAGTGAGGTGTATATCTACAGAAAAGGTTGCTTGTGACTGAAGGGTCATTAAAACTTTACAATTTATCAAAGACCAGATGAACTGCAAGTGCCAAGGCCCTTAAAGCAGTTTATACTTCATATGAAATAATTGTATATGTTATAAATGAACTAACAACCGATAAAAACATAGACCAAAAACTAAAATTCAAGCTCTAGGGTTAGAAAAAAATTGTCCATCATTTGACTTCATTGTTAGTATGTACACAATGAAAACCATAGTATATCAAATGAAAACACTAACAGAACAATTGGAGGCTTCAGATCTCAATATCGTTTATGGTATTGTATCAATAGAATGTACAGTAAAATCATTAAATAAATCCGAAATGATACAGACTAATTAAATAAACTCATATCAAGTGCCAAAATATTTTCGTTGAAAATGGAAGTGGACCCAGTTGTTGATTTTCAGATCATAGGAAACGGTTGAACCCCAAGAAGATTGATTCCAATTCCAATACTCAATCTGATTTCACATTAGAATAATTTTATCAAAAAGAATTTAGTCAAATTTTAGATACTTTAATCAATTTGATGGCAGAAAATTTGAAGTCTTGTCTTTCTTCGGTGCAACCAATCTACCATATTTAATCAGTTCCATTAAAATCAACCTTTACATTAGAAGATATAAAGAAAGCTTTTTCTTTATTTCCTCCTGGTTCAGATATGTCTAAGGTTACTGATTTTGATGGAATTCTGTGTGAAATAAATATAATAAGACTTAACACAGATAATGATTCTAATAACACGTTAAAGTCAACTATGGAATCAAATAATAAGTTGAAAACTGTTATACTATTAACTAATGAATTATATCGCTTGGCATATACATCAACCGTTTCTACAACAACAAACGAAAAAGTATTCAGTATTTTTAAATTTGTAAAAAATAATTTGTGATCAATGACTGATGAATGATTAGACAATCTTATGGTACTAAACTCATCCAAGGATATTCTAGATAAGATTGACATAACAACAATGGTAGAATGTTGGGCAATCCTTAAAGCACGCTGTATAAATGTATAGTTGACAATTATTGTAAAAACATTATTATTATGATATTTTATAGAATATAAAATAGTATAGCATAAAATTGGTGGAATTATTAATTTTATTTTTTACTTTTTACTCCTTTTACTCTTGCTCCGGCTTTAAATTTTTTTTCGAGTATGCAATTTTGGTATGACATCCCCCCCATCAGATTTTTCTTGTGCCAGCCCTAGTGACTATTTGATTAATTTAAACGTCTATAATTAATTCTATTCTATAACAACTTAAATATATACATACAGTTACATGTACATAACTAAAGAGCTCTGTTAGACATTTTCTAAAAAAATTTAAATAATAATTATTAATACCGAAATTTAACATTGAACCTACTTTGATGGATAGCCCCTTTCATAAACAGCTATATTATTACCTTAAAAAATAAAATTCTTTGTAGGTAAATAGAATAACCAAATCAAGTTTAATTATTATAAATTATATTAGTCTTCCAGATAATCTTATAATATTACAGGAGTTATAATAGTTACTTAAAACATGTAAGTATTAAATTACTATAATATTATGTCACATATTGAGCAACAACAGATAAAGGTAACTGTCAAAGAAGTTGTTATTACTTTAGGTCTGGAATTAAAAAAACAATTTTAATAACAATAATAAAATATACTATCATATAAATATTGATACTTAATAAAATTAACCAAGTTGTAATTATAAACCTTCGATATTAAAATCTATTCCTCAATGGGTGTCTAATTGGTTACATATAAAAATTTGTAACAGTAAAAATATAGGTAGATACACTTGTGAACCATTATCATAACACAATCTGGAAACTATAGTTTAACAGAACCTACAATTTAGCAAATTTAATACAAATGTCTTATTTTTGATTTGACTAAAAATATATGAATCTATAAGTAGATGGGAGATGAATATATTTGAAATACTATAGGTATAGGTACTTATTTTATTGTATTAGTTCAGTCGCAAAATCAAAAAAAATTAAAATGCTAATTGTCAATTTAAAATATCATATTTTTATTTTTATTTTTGCTTCCAATATTCTGGCCCGCCAATTTTAAGTTCTATAAATTAGGTCTCTAGTTACTTTGAGTTGTCATCCCTAATATAGGGTATCATAGATTTAATACATCTTAATTTATGATTGATTCTTTTAGATACATAGTTTACAACCTATAATTCATATAGACATACAAATAACTTTAAATTATTAATAAATTATCACAAACATAAATGAAAATCATAGTCAAATGTACCAACTACATATTAATTTCAGTAACCAAAAAAAAAGGTTCATTCAAAAATACTAATATCAGTCAAAACTAAGACAAATTAAAAATTTTTTATACTTACATGATATTTGTATAGATTACTATTGAAATATCTACAACTACATAACCGTAAAACTACTTTCTTTAAAATAGCTAATCTCAGAAACTATGTGACCGATTAAATTGAATTTTTGCTTTTGTAGACAATTACCCATGGATTGTTTTAAGCCTTTTTTTTATTTTTTCAAAAACATACATAATAACTTTGTAAATATTACAATACGGAGAAAAGTATGGTGATACACAAAAATTTTATACCCAAGTGAAGCTAGGTAATTAAGCTATTATCATATAAAATGAATACTGGAATTAATACTTTTTTCTGAATTTTTATTTACAGTAACAAAAAATTCAAATATTAGAGCCAAATTAAATAATTATGTGAAATATATTTTTTGTAGTATACCTAACTAGACCTTATAATAAATTAAAATTGTATAATATAGATATTCAAATACTTATTACTTAGCATGCACACATAGATAATTCAAATTTTTCTGAACCAATACATTATAATTCAAAATGAAATAAATCAACTGATATGGATTATTACCTTCTGAGCTTTGCACATGGTATTAATGGCTTGGACATCGTGACTTGAATGTCTAGATTCATGCATACACACAGCACAAACTGGTGTTTTGCAGACCATACAATACATTGATAAGCATTCCTCTTCATGATCACTGCAGATTATATCTCTGTTCCTGATCTTGTTCCTGAGGGCTAATTTACCAGCCAAGGGTTCCAAAAGATTGTGTTTTGCCAAGGGACCCCTGGATGGATGACAATTCTCACGGCATGAATCACAGTACAGAACCTCACACTGTTCACACAACACTGTGGCATCGGCAGCTGGTTCTCTTTCACACAACTGACATTTGGGAACAATATGCCTGAGCTCACCATAGCGATCAACAATATTTCGCATAGTCCTGTACTTTGGCAAATTATGGGCACCGTTATCATCAAAGTAGACGGTCTTCTTGCAGGCTGGACATGACAGAGAGTAAGAGCCGGCACTAACTGGCGGGAATACAATGCCATTGATGTTCGGAGTTCCCACATAGCTATTGGGCCGACTGTTGCATACGACGCCGCTATCAGTCTCGCTGAGTATGGAAAGCTTGTCGGACTCCGAGTGGTGGTAGTCAGAGGACGACGAGTGCGACTCCGTGGTACTGCTACTGCTGGTCGTCGAATTACCACTGTTCTCCTGGGACGCGGACGGCTCTAGAGGACGCTGAGCATGCACCGCACAATTCAAGCATATAGCATGGTAACACGGTAAAAGCACGGGGTTGTTGAATAGCTGCTTGCACGCAATACAGTGCAATTCATCTTCCATGGTTAATATGATCGACGTTTCGTACTGAGAAACGAAAAAACCCGTACCGATATAAAGTCGAACACTTAATGAACGGAGTCGTTGAAGATTGTTTCCATAACGGACACTAGCTCTCGAGATCACAAAAACAAATTTTTAGAAAAAAAAATCACACGAACTACGGTGAGACGCGAGCGCGCATGAAGAAAAACTGCTACACTGTAGCGAACGACGTTCGAACAACACAAACTCACGCGAAACGGACAATAACTAAGTGGCTGTGGCCAGCGACAAGAACACAATTTTTGTTTACACATCACAAACGCGCCCTAGTGGTCGCATGCCACCACGATATCTATGCCGCGGAATTGCCGCGTACAGTGTCGCACGCCGGATTCGGTGAAAATGTCTCGCCCGAAAACGCTATCGAGAAAACTATGGAATTAAAGAGGTAAACGGGAAAAATTGAAGACAATTGTATATAACAAAATTAATCACCTTCTGAGCTAATGCGCTTAACACAAATATAATTAATTCAACCAACAATCATTATATATAATAATGATTTTACAGACTTGGAGATAAGTGGATAAGCAACAGTTGCGACTTTCGTTCGCGGTCACATTGTCGTCATCACCGATAAGCACATATGAACGACTAGATAACGTATATTAGTAATGTCTTGCTGCTAAGAATTGCCAAGCCCAACATAGAATAAAGATTTTCTCTTGCTTATCTACTTGTCGATGGGGATAAACTTTTAACTGCTGCAACTTGCAACTGTGTGGATTAGCCTTGATCGGAAGTCGAAAATGTGAAATTAATTTGAATGTAAAATATCACTCAAGTACACTATTTTATCGATTTTTAACAATGCCTTGGAACATTTTTTAATGAACCGTCATTGATAACAAATAAAACTCATATTTATTTTTATTTTATCGCTTGTTCTACACAAGTGCCCTTCACACGAGCTCGGCTTAAACATCTGAAAACTAATATATTTTTCATTATGATTCTTATCAAACTTAGTCCAAATAATGGCTAAATGTTATGCTAAATTTATAAATATTATCAAACCATAAAATTTAACAATATTAATAACCATTTATGAAAACTTAATTATATTTTTCACCCTTGTACCTTTTTTTTAGCAGATGTCACTAAAAAAAATTAAAACTACTTATTGTCTTTATTATTTTTAATAATTATCTTTCGTCATAACTCAAGATTTCAACATAAATTGAAAATAAGGAAAGGTATCATACATTATTTACACATTTTTATAAATTATTTTATTAGAAAAAACTATTTTAAATTTACAATGATAACAATCCCTAAAAATTCTACGAAAAACTTTAAATATTTTCCAATTATGTGTAATCGGTCTTATGGTAAATGTCTGAAAAATAGTTATGATGTCCTAGTTGTAGGAGGAGGTATTGTAGGTTTTGCTACTGCACGTGCTTTATTAACACGTAATAAAAATTTACAAGTAGCACTTGTAGAAAAAGAAGATGGGCCTTCCATTCATCAAAGTGGACATAACAGTGGGGTTATACATGCAGGTATATATTATAAACCAGGTACAATGAGAGCAAAAATGTGCATTGAAGGTTTATATAAGACATATGAATACTGTGCTAAAAACAGTATACCACACAAAAAATGTGGAAAACTTATCATTGCTACTGAAGAGTCTCAAATAAAAAGTTTGTACAACTTATACGAACGAGGATTAGAAAATGGTACTCCTGATATAAAAATGATTAATGGAAATGATATAAAAACTATTGAGCCTTATTGTAAAGTAAGTTTTATTTATAATAATATATACCATAATTTGTCCTGTTACATATTTGCAGGGTTTGCAAGCAATACATTCACCACATACTGGCATTGTAGATTGGGCTATAGTTACAAAACATTATGCATTAGATTTTGAAAAACTAGGAGGTGAAATAATTTACAACTTTAAAGTAAATTCTTTTGAAGAAAGTAAAAGTAACAGAGCACTTAAAATATCTTCTAGAAATAATGTACAGTAATTAATAGTCATTATTAAAAATAATAAACTAGTTAACATATTTACAAATTAATACATAAAATATATTTTTACAGACAGAAATATTAGCAGACTATGTTATAACTTGTGGTGGATTACAATCAGATAAATTATCATTAATGACTGGATGTAAAGCTGATCCATACATTTTACCAATTCGAGGCGAATACCTATTACTTAACAAAAAAAAATCATACCTTGTTAAGGGCAATATTTACCCAGTAATAAAAAGGCTTAATGTTTATTAAAATATTTATATATTATGTACATAATATCTATAGCTTAAAGAATATATTAATTGAATTTAATAATTTATTACTCTAGGTACCTGATCCCAGTTTACCATTTCTTGGTGTACATTTTACTCCAAGAATGGATGGCACAGTTTACCTTGGTCCAAATGCAGTTCTGGCTCTAAAACAAGAAGGATACAGGTTTTTACTGAATATAATTGAAATTTAAGAATATAGTATATATTATTTAAGGACATATATTTTTAGCTGGAATGACATAAGCATTTCAAATACGTTAAGACTATTAAAACTAGATGGTGTTCGAAAGCTTCTAGCAAAACATATTAAATTTGGTATAAATGAAACAATAAAGTCTTTATACCCAGCAAAACAACTGAAAGAAATACAAAAATATATTCCAGATATAAAACTAAATGATATTCAAAAGTAAAATTTAAAAACTATTTCTAAATGTATTTTTAATATGGATAATCATTTAAACTATAGAGGTCCTACTGGTGTTCGGGCTCAACCACTATGGGCTAATGGAACTATGGCAGAAGATTTGGTACTTGAGATTGCATCAGATGATCCAACAAATTTAGTAAAACATAGAATAATGCATTGCCGTAGTGCTCCATCACCTTCAGCTACATCATCATTACCAATTGGTGAAGTCATTGTTGACAAAATGTTATCAAAATACACAAAGTTAAATGATTTATAAAAAGAAACACTAAAAACAAAAATGAATTCATATTGCTAATTTAGGGAATATATACAATATATTGTACCTAAATATGTGTACTAAGAACCTAAATTCAACAATTAATTTAGTGTCTATAAGTTATGAATATAAATTTAAAATTTTAATCATAATCTAAACATTTCTATGTAAACTGATGTCAAGATTTCAAATCAATTTGAAATTAAGATTATGAAATACAATCAAATTCTATAATTTATTGTACTAGTCCTTGAAAAATATAATTTGTAGCTTTACTCTAACTTATGTTTGTAGGAAAAGTATTAGACATGATTACATTATTCTTACTTAATAATCAACATCATACCAATATAATAAATGTAATTACTGATGATATAATATATTATACAATACATAAGTTAGAAATTGAACTTGATGACTGATTTAAGCATTTGTTATGGGTACAACTGGCATTCAAACAAATATTTGACTAGAGGACTGATGGATGTAAAATAACTATCATAAATAAAATAACAGATACTGCTAAATAGTTATTCATTTTAATTAAGTATATTATAAATTATGATTCATTAAAAAGTTATGAGTAAAAGATTAAAAATGTCCATTGTTTGATGATTTCATTGAATCATTGGGATGACATTCTTTGAAAGTATAATCAGTCTTATATTATAGTTATTCTCATTATATTTCTAATTTAGGTAAGTAAATTAATTAATAAAGTTACCTGGAACACTTAAATTAAAAGCCATACCCGGCCATAAAACTGGTTTTTTAATTTGACAATAAGTGTCGAATTCAGTTTGTAGTTTTTTTTCAAGACACTCAATAACATTCACTTTTGAGCCATATAATTCTTTTGGACAAATTTCTTCAACAAAAGTTATCTTTGAAGATTCTATGAACAAAAAACATTTTAAAATTAAACAATATATACAAAAACAAAAAAGTATTATACATTTTAACTATACTGTTTGTATACAAAATAATTTGATTAAAGTTTTTAAAAATTAAATTGTCAACTTTTAAGTTATATTTTTGTATGAAACAACAATTAGAAAAGATGATTTATAGTTATTATAATTAAGTTTTTAATAAGTTCAAGAAAATACAAGCTATATTTGAAATGAAGACAATAATATAATTGAAACATAACCAGAATACAACATGAATAATAAAAAAAAGCTATATTATCATGCAAAACAAAATAAATGTAGTGCAACAGATTTAACAGAATTGAGAAATGAATATCTAGATATGTCTAAAACAAAGGAAAATAAAAACATGTGTATACCAGTTAAGAGATTAAAATACTGAAAAAAAATGTACATTAAGAAAATTATTTGCTTAAAATAAAATAAATTTATTACAAATATGATCACCATTTTCCAAACTCGATGAATCACAAAGTCCATACTCTTTGTCGACTTCCCTTTTTTCTCTTTCTAAAAACAATAAATAATATTATTATCACACCCATAAATGGACATATGTCAAAACAGTAAAAATTAACTAACTGTTAGAATTGTACAAACCTATTTTTGCTTGATGTTTCAATGTTTTTTTAGAAAACTTTAAATATTCCAAATCAATATCAACGCTATTATCAGAAGAATAACTGTCTATGTCATTTTCATACTGTTGGTCATCAAACTGTGTATGATGGTAAATTTCCTAAAAAATAAATCAGTATAAATAAATAAGAATACTTATATAAAATGGGCTGTAAAAATACTTGTGATTTCTATGTTTTATGATTTAAATTTCAACCAAGATAATTGAACAAAACATACCATCATTTGCGCATTCGACGGTACAGTCGGTTTCCTGTCATTCGTTCGCCTAGCACCTGAAATCCTGTAGCCCCAGCTGATTACATCTTCATAGTTTTTCCAAAAATGCAATAGATTCTGATCCATATTTCGACTTGCCGCTAAAAACCGGATTAATTTAAAAAAATATAAATATAGACTTATCGAATCCATTATCACATTTATCGTAAAAATCACATTTACTGAGTTTTTCTTCTAAGGTATTAATTTTCATAATATCTTTGAGATATTTGTTATCACCAATACGTTTGCTATTTGTTGTAGTCTCATCAAATCCCGTTCTATCCTTCTTCGTTCATCGTGTTGCTACATACTGTTGCCAACGATTTAGAAAAATGGTAAGTACATTTTCATCCATTTCCATCTTAATTCACACCAAAATCAACGACACCGTTATTGAACTAACACTATCTGTTGATTCTGTTTTTCATTTAATTCCTAAATTTCAATACGTTAATAGTAACGTCTAGTGTTATAACCTTCGTCTCCCGCAGCTTTTGTAAACTAGTCTTTGGGGCTTGTTTAGTTAATTACGCGCTCCAAGTTATCCGATTAAATTGATATAGGATTTAAAGACCCATTCACTGATGTTTTCTGGTATTATGACCATCATTTCTAAATGTTATGGCTCCTATATATACTCTATGAGGAACAATGCAAGACTTGATTTCTTATTTAATGTATATGTGTGAACTTGCAATTGTAGTTCAATAATAATTAATAATAGTGACATAAAATTTGAGATGTGGATTGAACTATTTTATGTTACCAATAACTGAACTCAAGAATCCCCTAAAATGAATAGTTATACTGTTACATTTATACTATCACATTATTAATTATTAATTACCATAACCATAACCTGTCTTGAATTAATTTTATTATTTCTTATACAACTATTGATTTTTTGATTTAGTTTTATTGTATTACTTATAAAATATAAAAAAAAACTGATGTGACAGGCCTTTAATTAAAAACGTATTTTGAGTTTAGCTTAACTTTTTTTGTTACTGTTAACTTAAGATATACCTTCTGTTATATAATATTGGCCTTTGAAAAGACAACAATTGCATTTTTTAGTTGCTTTGTAATTTTTGATTGAAGGTGAATGTACCTAAACAAAGACGTACATACTGCAAGAAATGCAAGGTACATAAGGTCCATAAAGTAACACAATACAAAAAGTCCAAGGAACGTCAAGCATCCCAGGGTCGTCGTCGTTATGACCGAAAACAAAGTGGATTTGGTGGTCAAACTAAGCCTATTTTCAGAAAGAAGGTATATAATATTTTTAATAATTATTTGGAATGTTAAGACTAAAAGTGTAAATTATTGTTGACAAGGCTAAAACAACTAAGAAAATTGTATTAAGAATGGAATGTTCCGAATGCAAATATCGTAAACAAATCCCGTTGAAACGTTGCAAACATTTTGAATTGGGAGGTGACAAGAAACGAAAGGTAAGAAAATTCAAAACAAATAAAATTTTTGAGTTTATATTTATATCATTAATTTAAAAAAAAAAATTAAATTTTCAGGGACAAATGATCCAGTTTTAAGCTGTACCTAACATTTTTTTTGTTACCTTTAAGATCAATATATAAATGCGTACTGCTAATTGCCTTTTTATTTCTTGTCTTTGTTATTACCTTTTATTCTATTTTTTACCTATTATACATCTATTTTAATGATGAATAAATACTTGAGCATCTTGTTTATTATGGTTTTCTTAAACATGAAACCTTTGAGTTAAGTATTATAATAATTAATATTATTAGATATTTCAGTTTTAAAATTTCAATTATTTATAATCTTATGGATGCTGAATCATTTGTTGAAACAATAACATAAAGTTTAACAATTCAGTGTTTTCTATATAATACAAATGAACATTTTTTTTTTTAATTGTGTTCACCTTAAATTGAAGATGATGAGCATGACAAATATACCTAATCTATTCAATACAATAAAAAAATTGAATGACATTGAATATTAAAGTGTATGTTACCTTATAACATGCTCATATCCTTAAAGTTGAATGAAAATTTTTAACATCCAACGTTTGACATGTATTTTATCATAAATAATTTAAATATTACTTAGTTAAATAAACAAACAAAATAATTTTTTCCAATATTAAATTACAACTAGCCACAAAGAGAATATTAGTTGCATAAGCGGATATCAGGTGGTCTTAGACCCCCCTATTATTTTAAAAGCCTGCCTAAAATCGAAATTGTTAGAAATTTTATTTGTTGTTTTTATAATTATCTGTTCATTTTTTTTTGAAAATCGTAAAATAAAAAATAATAAAAAACTATTTACAATAGTATTAACAATATAAATAACATAGTTTGGCTACTTGCGATAGAAGTTTCAGTGCAATGAAAAAAATAAAAACTTGGTTAAGGACATTGTTGATTTAAGATAGGTTCAGCAATCTTTCAATACTATTTATCGAAAAATATAAAAAAATAATGATATTTTGACTATCTTTGCTAATATAAATAGTTATTTGTCATTAAAAATAAAATATTGATTATTTTTAAATATACATTATTTAGTGTTTTTTTAATACAATTTAAACATATCTATATTTTTAATGGTAATAAGTTTTACTTGTGTGTGGGAGCGAAGCTACTACGGGTTATTTAACATTGAATCATTATAGCCTCCCCCCAAAAAAATTCAACCAAATGTCCACCTATGATTAATTGTACCATTGATTTTATAAGACATAAAATCAATGTGGTTGTACCTAATCTATTACAATATTTTTTATCAATGATAAGGTATACATTTCCTTATCATAAAAATTAAATTGATTTATATTTGGTTAAATTAATTTAAAGTTTTGAAGTAATATGTAGTTTTTATTTAACTTATTACTTTGTTTTTGGATTAATATAAAAATGGAAGAAAATAAAAATGTAAGTTATCCCTGTCTAATATTTTCTACATATTTATGCATTTATAAATACTGATTTAGGTTGCTCCAATGGAACAACGTCGCTTAGTTACATATATTAATCATTTCATTACATCCACGGTAATATTCTTAAATAATTTCATGGCCCATTGCGAAACTAAAATGATGAAATCTGAACAACGGTTACAACAAATTTCAGCTTCTCTATGTATATTAGAAACAAAGGTAATCTTATAAGGGTAAATAATATTACACCCTAAATTATAAAATATTTTTTAGTTAAATTCTGTTCCTGAACTTCAAGAATTAACAAATCAAAAAATATCAAATGTGGAACCTCTTATTAGACAACCAAAAGATATTATAAAAAATACTGAGGTGACCAATGAAAATAAAACTGGAGACAAAAATGTACCAGAACCAGTTGAATCAACTGTTGTAGATGAGATCTCTAAAGAATCAACTATAGATCCAGCCATATTAAAATACAGAAAAATGCTTCAATTTGGTGTGCCTAGAGGTGCTGTTGAATTAAAAATGGCACACGAGGGATTAGATCCAAAACTATTGTGATAATATAAATTGAAAGTATTTTTAATTTTACTTTTGTTTGTTATCTTTGTCATATAAACATTTATTTTTATATACTGAATTATTAAATTGATGAATCAAGCAAATTATACAGAACTGAAAATTTAAACTCAAATTTAAAAATATGTACCTATGTGTTATGTACTTTTTTAATATTAATAAAATCTGTATATAATTATTGATCATAGTAGACAATGATCAGTATTTGTGATATAAATTAAAATTATATATATATTATAAATTGAAGTTTTCGAAATATTAAATTTATAGTAAATACTTACATATTTTTCTTAATATGCTATAAAATATTAGCATTTCTGAATTATATTATCAAATTATAATTAGCTGATCTACTTTTTTGTACAATTATTAAACCTGCAAAACTATATGATTTATAATAGTTTCCAAATCAGCCCCAATAATATCATTTAATAGACTCAATTAATTGTTATTTATTATCTGAAATTTATCAAATTTTTTTATTTGACATGCGTTATCTCTAAATATTATATGAACACTAAACATAATATTCTAGTTTATATTTGTATAAATAATCAATATTAATCATTAAATTTGATATTTTATCATATAAGTTCATTATTAAAGCATTTAACTTAAGAAAATTCTGAGGCGAAAAGGTGTATTTTAAATTATAATTTTGGTCAAATTTCATGGTCCATTTATTTTTATTAAATAAAAGTGACAAAAACTGTAAATATTTTTCAAATAATAAATACTTATATTGAACATTAATTTTCATTACCTATATTTAATTGTAATGGTTTTTAATACTTATGAAATCGATCATAGATTGCATTTTTAAATTATAATCCATAGTTTACCAAGTGTTTTAAAGTGTATATTGTATACCGATGTTTCTCAACTACTATGTTGTGACACACTATGTTTCACGAGAATAGTCCAAGTGAGTCGTAAGTATTTTTAATGACAAAATGTAAATTTATATTTGATATAATGAAGCTCATCATAAAATACTATTTTATTAGGTAACTATTTTGTCGTGATGAAGTAGATTAAGTAATATATTTCAAATCATATGAATTAAAGAATTTTGTTTTAATTAAGTATAATTAAAACATATTAATTCATAAATAATTATATTATTAATTATTATATTGTATAAGCCATAAGTTATAATAATAAATTATTATTAATAAAAATAATTAATTTGACATTTTCTTTATTTTTTAATAGTGTATCGCTGTAAAATAAACGTTGAGAAACACTGCTATCCGCTAAATAGTTTTGAAACAATATTATATATTTGGACGAGAATTTATGTAACTTATTCAATTACGGTTACACAAAATATATATTATTTTTTAAAAATTATTTGTCCATAAATCACATAGTTATTTAATTGGCGATATTATTGTAATTTTCTTTCTACAATTATATCATTAAGTATGATCAGTTAATTATACTATTTAAATATGTAGTGTAGGTGTATATATATGTATTTTATTATATGTATTATATTATTATATTATTATATGTAGATTTCAGTAAAATTTTTACATCAGACACCGAAGAAATGTCAAACTTATTTGGTATTTCTTCTAATGCTTCAACTATAGACGGAAAAAGTTCTACAAAGTCATTGAGTGCTGTATATCTTTCAACCCATTGTTTAAAACACAATCATTTGAGTGATTTTGTTAAAGGGTTTAGGCTGCTGTTGGTAATTGCTTCCAAAAGAACATTATTAAATTTTGGGAAATCGAAAAAATTATTTATTTTTTCCACTATACCCATACAGATTTTAATGAATTGAACTTCACAAGCAGATGAAACTGATAAATTTCTTATCAGAGTTTGCACAAATTTAAATTTTTCTGACATATTTGCTGCTCCATTGTGGCCTTGGTCGCACATTCTAGTACAATCAATACCACAAGAGTTTAAACCTAGGAAATAATAATAATAATTATATTTGATTGTATATTAATATTAGATTAATGTAATAGTACCTTCAAGAACTGCAGACTACATCTTTACTGTTAAATTATGTATTTTTACATATTTCAATCTTTATTTCAATTTTTATCTCCTGAACCATTAATGTATCGAACACATAATGTAAGTTATTCTTCAAGTTATACATCTGTTGTTTCATCTGCCAACACAAAAAAACATTCAGCAGAATTTAACATGTTTACTAATTTTCCAAGTATTAAGTTTCCACTGATATTTATTATTTAATTTTAAATATTTGAACCAGGAATCAGAATTTAAAGGTCTTTTAAATAGTTTAAGTCATTTGCTTTAAATTTTAGAATGGCATGAAAATTACCGTCATTTATATATTTATTATTACCACCAGATTAATCTAAATAGTAAGAAAATACTAGCACACAAATATAGTCAAACACACTAGATTTAAAATATTAACATTCGAAATGCTTTGGTCCGAAGTCTCTGTGCCCACAAAGAGCAATTAATATTTTCAGAAAACGGTCTTTTGAAAAAAAATGAAATAAATCGGCGGGAAAATCCAACGGACAGTGTTGCATCGTGTATTCCATGTAATCTCGTTATCATTCGTTTCAGTTTATCACTAGTGAATATAAACATCAAACAAATGTTAGAAATTATATTTTCTAGTTTAAGATTTTATTTTACACCTTTTTTTTTTTTTTTGAATTTTCACCACGTTTTAAAATTTATTATGGGATTATTAAATACAACTTTTTAGATCCTTCCAGCTTGCCGTGATGGAAGAACCGCCTTCGATAGAAACCGTGTACGAAGCTATTTATGCTCTGTACAACCAAAACACCAACCCAGCCGAAAAGCAGCGAGCCTCCAGTTGGTTGAACGAAATGCAAAAATCGGTACGTGTCAACCGTTTTCTACATTAACTGACGATAAAGAGTACTCACGTTTGTTTACCATAGGTTTATGCGTGGAAGATAGCTGATGAACTGTTGGCCAGAAAGATGGATCTGAATTCTTGTTACCTAGCGGCCCAGACTATGCGGTCCAAACTACAAAATTCCTTTCATGAATTACCTCAAGATTCACACACATCATTACGTGATGCCCTACTGAACCATTTGTCAAAATTAGATGATACCACTGATGGTGTAATCGCTACACAAGTATTCTATTCCTTCATGTTAACCTTACCCATTTTATTGAATGTGTTTTGTGTCATTATTTAATTAGTTTTTGTGTTTTAGTTGTGTGTTGCATTGGCACATTTAGCTCTTCAAATGGGTTCATGGAAAAACGCTGCTGTAGACATTGCATCGCGATACAATTCGTTGAAAACGTGTTTTATACTAGAATTATTAACTGTATTACCTGAAGAAGTAAATTCTCGAACATTACGTTTAGGTGCAAATCGTCGCTCTGAAATTTATACAGAATTTAGTGAGAACTTGCCAGCCGTTAATCAACTTCTAGAATTATGCTTAACATCTGAACCAAATGATGAACGAATTAAAATACGATCATACAAATGCTTTGCATCATGGTTGAATATTAGAAGTGTATCAATGTCGCATGTATGGAATAGCAATGTTCTATCAAATGCCTTTAATGTGTTGTGTACTTTTGATGTAATATTTTATTTTATTTAATTTTTTTTATTTTTGTGGAAATATATTTCATACCGTTAACTATTATTTCAGGGATCTAATATGGTTCAAGAAGCAGCTGCAGATGCAGTGATAGCATTCTTGCAAACTCTAGAAGATAATAATAATCAAGATGAAATACAGCTTGAAATTTTAAATTCTGTGAGTAGATTGGAACAAGCCTATATGATGTCAGTTACCAATGAAGATTTAGATAGGTAGGTCATTTAATTTGATAAATATAAATTTATTCATGGTAATTTTTTTTTTTTTTTTTCAGAACTGTTAATTATTGTAGAATATTTACAGAGTTGGCTGAATCTTTAGTAATGACTATGATAAACAAAAGCCTAGGAGCTAATGGTCTTCCACATTTTTCAATTAAAGCATTAGAATTAGTTATTTTATGTGCCAACCATCATGATTATGAGGTAAATAGAAAATGTTTAAAACTATTTTCAAATTTAATTATTAACTAAATTATGTATTATTAACAAAACATTTAATACTATCAATTATATTATGTAATAATAGATTATAGTCAAATTAATTTCTAGTTTTTTTTTAATTTAAAAAAACCCAATATATAAAGTTTGTATAAAAATATTATTTCTTTTTTTTAGGTTTTATTAATAACTTTCAATCTCTGGTTTAGGCTATCTGAAGAATTGTACAAACTAAATAATAATACTCTAACTGAAATGTTTAAGCCTTATTTTGAGCAATTAATTGGTGCATTATATAAACACTGTATGATTGAAACCGATCGTGTAAGTTAATTAAAATTAAAATTTATCTTCAGTGAATTCTTGTAAAATGTTACATTATAGGAAGGTCTATTAGATGAAGGCGGTGAAGATTTTGCTGATTTCCGAATGAAATGTTCAGATTTAATTAAAGATGTAGTTTTTATAGTTAGCTCATCAGCCGTTTTTCAACAAATGTATATGCTCTTGCAAACAGCTTCTCTGTCAAATGCAACTTGGGATCAAATGGAAGCTGCTCTATTTATTATGCAAGCCATCGCTCGAAATATATTACCGTAAGTAACCATATATAAATAATTGTGAATCTTAAACAATTTAATTCATATTTGTAATTAATTAGACATGAAAATGAGGTGGTTCCTAAAGTGGTAGAAGCTATTCTCAATATGCCAGAAACCGTTCACATAAACATGAGATATACTTCAGTCATGCTGTTAGGAGAACTATGTGATTGGATTTCTCACGAACTTCATTCTGAGACTCTAGGTAAAAAATGATAAAAATAATTATCTATTTATATTTCAGTAATAATTTCTAATATAAAATTATTAATAATGTTTGATACTAATCTCTCCTTATTGAAAGTATTTTGTTTTTAATCTTATATATTGGGAACAAAAATGTTAACTTTGATTTATAGTGATTGAAACCTTATCTTTTAATTTTCTTATGTTTCTACTTTTAGAACCTATATTAAATTATCTGCAGTATTGTCTGCGTCAACAAAATCTTGCTGCAATCACTGCAAAGTCCTTACACAGTATTTGCACTACATGTCGACATCATATGGTCAAACATCTCAGTGGACTTCTAGAAATCCTTAAAGTTGTGGATATGTTAAATTTGCCCAATGATGTTGCAATTGGATTGTTAAAAGGTTTGTTTGATAAATTATCAATGAATTTTTCCTAATTTAATACTATGTTTGTTAAAGGTGTTGCTGTAATTGTGGCTGAAGTACCAGAGGAACATGTATACAAAGCAATAAAAGAAATTTGTTGGAGGCAGTTAAATCCATTATTGGCTCTAGCTGAGGTAAGTTTTTTCTGCGTTTAATAATTATTTAATAAATAAATATACAAAAAAAAAAAATTAATTAATTGTTGTATTAAGTCTACATCAGATACAACTATTCCTGAAACTAATACTCCTTCAGATCCAATTTATTGGTTAGATCGTTTGTCGGCAATTTTAAGACATTTAGTAACCAAGACACATTCTGAAAAAGATCAATGTGTAGTTGCTGTAGTTGAAGTATGAATTTGTTTTTTATATTTTCATTTGTTAAAATAAATTTTAATAATACATTATGTAATTTTTACAAGATGTGGCCATCCATGTCAAAAATATGTACTAGATACAAAACAGATGCACGTATTACTGAACATTTTTGCCGATGTCTTCGATTTATGATTAGATTGGTTAGCCGATCAACAGTTGCACTTTTAGCACCAGTTGCGCAACAAGTAAATAAGTTATATCAAGTTCCCTAATATATTTTTATCTAACACAATTTTATACTTTATTCTTTGTAGATAGCATTTTTATACAAAGAACACCATCACAGTTGTTATCTTTACATTGGTTCAATTATGGTAGACGAATATGGTTCCAAATTCGACAACCCACTTGTTATGTCGCAGTGCCATTCAATTCTATTAGAAATGATTGATGCATTTATTGAACCAGCATTCCGATTATTTAGCGAACAGGATGGACTCAGAAACTATCCAGATACTGTGGATGATTTTTTTCGGTTGGCATGCCGGTAAAAAATAATTCAATATCTAAGTATAAATATATTTGAGAAATTTATAATTTTTGTTTCTGTTATAGATTTATACAAAAACTTCCCATGCCTTTTCTTCAATCTCCTGTACTTGAAGTAATAATTAGATGTAGTATAACAGCTGTGTCATTAGATCACAAAGAAGCTAATGCATCTGTTATGAAATTCCTATTAGACTTATTAATATGTGGAAAATCAAAAAAAGTAATGATATGTTTTATATATATTTGTTAGATTTTAATTGATTATAGCATGTATTATAGCATAAATGTAATTCTCTTCACAGGACAATACTAACTATGAAGAGCGTAAACAATATGTTAGATCAATTGTTAATTCAATCGGTGAACAATTAGTAGACAATTTAATTCAAGCCAGTGTATTCTCGCTTCAAACATACATGTTGCCTGATGTAATTGATGTCATTATTGAACTAATGGCATATGATAAAGATGTATGTATTTACTTTAGAATGTAAATAAAAAATATTAATTATATATGTTAAATGTAATTTATAGCAAACATTAAGATGGTTAAATGGAGCTGTAGAAAAATTACCAAAAAAAAATTCTGCTGGTTTAGTTACAGCAACTAATGAACAGTGTTTACAATTTTTGAATTCTTTTCATTGGTAATTTATGTTAAACTTAAACATTTAGCATTACTAATTTGGTATATCTTTTAAGTATGATGGTAACTTGTCTTATTTTGTTTCAGCTATGAAAACGATGGAGAATTATGTCGTTCTTTACGAGAATTTTCAAGGTATTTCCGGTAGTGTTGACCCATGTAATTAATAAATTTCATTAATTTATATTTTTTCAATATTACTAAATTTTTGACCTCTTGCTGTTTAAAATATTTTGTTTTTAATTTGTAATGTTTCACCCAATTTTATTGTGCTTATAGTTATAAAAAAACTAAAAGTGTATGGTCAATGTTCGATCACTTCTAATTGCAGTATAGTAATTATACTAACTATTGTGAATAAATAAATGAGCACCTATTGAACATTTTTCACACGTTTGTTGTGTGAAGTTTATTCATTATTGAATGATGTACAAAAGGAGCTCTAATTTTTTTTTTTCTTTTTGTTTATTTTATTTATCAAACTAAATAATTAAGATCTTTAAGCATTAAGCGGGGTTCACACTACACCGTGACGTATATTTTACCAGACCATGTGCTTTAAAAATTTGTGATACCAATATATATCTTATGGTGATGCTATCAAATTTTGGTTACATATTTTCGCAGTTTTTTTATTAGATATGAAATATTTTCATAAGTTTCAATAAATAATAACTAATCAATATTAAATTATATAGTAGACAGTATGTATTATTTTATTATTAGGGCTCCGAACTTAATGCACTTAAAAAGTACTAAATATGCACGCACTTATGCGCTTAAAAAAGTACAAATATACTTCAAAAATATGCGCTTAATTTTTTTTTAACGCAAAAATGTTCAAAATAAAAATATTTTATTAAATATACTCGTACATAATAATACAAATCTTGTTAGTATTATAAGCTAATCATAATTTCTAGGTATAATTATATATGATAAAATAAAACAAAATAAATAACTTGAAATTTAAAATTTTCTTTCATAATGTTCCCATTAGATTTTTTATAGTGTCATGAAAATAATTTCAAGGTTACTTAGCAATAAATTGAATATCCCAATAAAATCATGCAAATCCAACGCCTTCCAAGCCCTTGGTTATTATGAATTATGTTATCGTAGAATAATAAATTATTACTATTGAAATCGGTAATCACACGCTCAAAAGTTGGATAAAATCAACTTCACGGTATCTTATGGTTAGTAAGGTAACTTGTGATTTATTATACGGTATACCTTGATGTAACAATATGGTTCAGCCAATCAGAGATAATTATTTTAGAAGACACGACACGGCACGTATAGTGTGAACCCGGCTTTTATCTTCCTCAGATATTGCTACAGTTATAGACATTTACAGCCATAACCCAAGGTTAATAGATAATATAAAGTAATTTAAAGCAACACTTTTTTTACCATATATTTACTATATAGTTAATAATTTTTTGGTGCATTTATGCATATTGTATATTTTTGAATTTATTAGAGCTATATAAGTCCTTAATAATTTTACTGGTCTACTTTTTGTTGTTTTGACTTTTCCCAGACCCATCATGGTTTTTCTAAAAACACGTATTGAGAGTTGTCGAGTTATTAATTTTATTTATAGACAGATGAGATAATATTGTTCAACGCACAAAATATTGAAACAGGTCACGGGGATGCCTGTCACCGACATCGGACATATTCATATTTCATTAATCGCTGTTTCTCAATGGTTGACAATCCAAACACGTTATATTTACTATTTATTATAAAAAATGCCTAAAGTAAGTATCCAGATAAGAAAACCTATAAAATAAACCCAATTAATTAATTAAGTAACTTGTAAGTTGTTAAATAAAATGTATTCATTATAATAAGTACTTTCAGAAAAAATTCTTATTTATTCAAAAAAATTCATTTAAAAATGCATATTTGGTGAATTTTTAAAGCTTCAAGTCCTCTGCCCTATTAATAAATATAGTAATATTCTCAATAGTTATACACATATCACACATATTCAGCACAAAGGTTTACTATAATAAGTAAGTACTATCATTTGAAATCAATTTTTATTTGGTAGTAAAATGTTATAAAAAAATACATTATTTAATTAACAATAATAAATAATATTAAAAAATCAGTATAAATTAAACATGGTTTATACATTATTGGTATATTATATAATCTATAAACTTTGTATATTGAAAATAATGGGAAATTAAAATACACTATATAGGTACTATTTACTATTTAACCATTGAGTATGTAGAAATTTCAATTAGGGGTCCGGACCCGAAAATCCCCCTTGGGTACGCTCCTGTAACGATCTGTAAATTATTTTTAAGTTTTTATTGAAGAAAAATTAGTTTAGCCCCTAGCCCTCATGGCCTCAACTCAAATACACCCTTGATTGACCACAACTGTGCCGTAATCACCCGTATTATCGGAATTGAGAAATGTTAATAGTTTAAGTGTAAATTGTTTTGATATTTTTATTAAAAAAACAATTGATTTAAATAATAGCAAAATATATCGGAAATATAATAAATGTGTATGTTGAAATATTTAACATTTCAGAATGTACACATTGTTATTCATGCAATAACAAAAGTACTGTTAAGGACATTTATCTTCTGTGTATGTCTCATTGAATAAATTTACAAATCAAACATTTAAAGGAAAACTGTAAAGGTTGTTACACACTATGTAAAGCCGCGTCCACACTATGTAACAAAACGGCGAACATAAGTTCTCGACAGTGTTCGTGTGTAACAAATCGGCGTACTTGTATCATACTTCTTTAACAAACCGGCGATCCACCGATTGTCGGTGTTTTGGCGAAACATCAAAGGCTGTTACACGATCACGTTACAATATGTTTGGACGCTCTGACGAACATAGCCGTGTAACATTATACATTTATCACATATGAACCTCCAGAGAGGATCTACTTATTCATAAATAGAAATATGGAAATGACATGTAACAGGTTACAGGCTTTAATATCTATTGTTACAGTTGTTCTGTTACAACAGTTCGTCAAATTGATACGCGTTGCATGTTCGCCGTTTTGTTACATAGTGTGGACGCGGCTTTACATGTCATTTCCATTTTTTTATTTATTATTGAAATAAACTTCAGTGTCGAATAATATCTCTTCAATTAGCTGCTGCTGTATATATTTATATTCGACCTACATTTAAGAAGAAGAGTAAAAGACAAAGCTATGGTGGACTACGCATTTATGCACACAATGGGCAGAAACTGGTGGAAATACTCTATTACACGGTTTAAGGACTCAAGAAATAAATGGACAGTTTCAAAATTTTATGAGAATGACGTCAACAGATTTTGATTTCCTAATTAATCTTATCAGACATAAAATTGCCAAAAAAGATAACAGGTTTAAGAAAACCTATATTAGTATAAGAAAGACTAGCTGTAACCCTTCGATTTCTAACGACTGGCGAATTATTCAAAACTGCCATCCCCTTGATTTTTAAATAAATATTTTCAAAAACCCCTGCACCTTCCTGGAGCCGTCCTATGTGTGGCATCTTCTTAATAATGAATTATTGAAGTTAACTACAAACCTAAAATGAATAAGTAGATCTTCTCTGGAGGTTCATATGTGATAAATGTATAATGTTACACAGCTATGTTCGTCAGAGCGTCCAAACATATTGTAACGTGATCGCCGGTTTGTTACAGAAGTATGATACAAGTACGTCGATTTGTTACACACGAACACTGTTCGCGAACTCATGTTTGCCGTTTTGTACACGCCTTAACATACTATTTGTATGAAATTACATGATATTTTTCAGAATTTTTATGTCACACCCAAACCAATTTTTTGTCTTTCATTGTTATTTCAATATTTTCATACATCTTTTACAAAGTTCATACAGATTGTATGAAAATTCTCCGAATTTATATTTAAAACATTGATTTTGAATTCTAAATTCACATACAACACAAGGGAATTAAATACATATGTTATAAAAACAAGCGACTTAATATATTTTTAGCTGGCTCTGGGTACCCAAACATTCTAATAAGTGTCCACGGCTATGATCTCTAGTATCAACTGTTTATTTAATACAAAATAATTAATTATATAATATATCTTTACTTTATGTATGACAAACAAGAATTTTTTAACATGCATTTTTCATTATTAATATTAAATAATAATATTTTAATACAAATGTCTCATTTTAGATTTAAAAACAACTACTAATAAAAATATTTTATTAGTAGTTATAAGAAATCTACTGTTTATAACAACTATGTAAATAGTTTAAATAAATAAAAATAGATAATATAATTATTTCAGTAACATAACATAAATAATATAACAAAAAATAATAATAATAATAAAATAATTATACATACTTATATGTTGTATATTGAATATAACATTTAAATGGGAGCACTACCAGACTAGAAACAATGTAAAGACACAAAGTTACAAGCAATAAAATAAAATAATATAATGATAATAATAATAGTAATATAAAATATTAATGATCATAATAATAACATTATACGAATTGTTCCAACATTTTTGATCTTATTTTTAAATATTTATTTATTTTAAGTAAATTATATTACTATTGCAATAGATTATATTATGGAATGCATTATTGGCAACATACAAACAAAAATGTGCAGACTGTGATTATGGTTGGTAACTATTTTTTTAATGGCAACACCAGCACATTTTACACGATCACTGCAAAATTACTAGATTGTTATGGCATTTCCATTTTTTTTCTTTTTTTATAAAATTTAGATAATAATAATAAAAATAACAGATGAAGCTCGTGTAAAAATATACCAATCAATAATTTACATTGGTTTATAAATGTATATAAGCTCAAATAAGATCACATCAGGGTACAAACTTTTTTTAAGTCAGAATCAAAATCATGATCTAAGTCTTTGACATCAACTGGGATACGCCCAGAAACATTGGGCATATACTGGTTATGACAAAGACCTTCACGTTCATAAAACAACATGTATGCTCCACTGGTGTCTATTTCACCAGTTACCTCCTAAAGTAAACATATAATTGAAATAATAAAATAATATTCTTATACAATAATAAATATTAAGAATATTACCTTGCAACTACTGTCATTGTAACAGTACCATTTACCATTTGGATTACATGCATAAGATACATAATGACCACCTCCAAGAATTCCAGAATGACACTGTTTAAAATACAAATAAAAAAAATTAAATAAAAAGTAATCGAATAAAAATATTTAATAACCTACCACAATAGCATATAAGTTATACTTCAAATCTAATGGGTTGAATTCACCAACTAGCTTATGCTGATGAAAATCTTGCAAAGCTTTATCATCTATTGGCGTTCGTAAGAGAGATGTTGATTCTAACCTTTTACGTTGAGAAACTTCTATCTCTTTCAAGCGGTTATTTACATTTAATAAACCGTCATCTGAATAAATTAAAATAAATTGATTCATAATTTATTAAATTATAGATACAATTATAGCATACAAATTTGCAAGGATTAGAAAATATAGTTTTTTTTTATATATATATACAACTATCAAATGTAAAAATATTTTAATTTTTTTTTTTTGTAATATTTTGTAAACAATTATCCAAATACCTTTTAGGTAAAATTAAGAATGATCATACTTAACTTTCGAAATAATTTCTTTTTTTAATATAACAACTTTTTACAACATAATTTAGTTATATCACCAAAAAAAATTATAAAGGGTTACACAAAATATTCTTAGTTATAGAACTTGAAAGAACATTTTCTCTTTCAACTTTTGGTTATTTTAATAAACTTAATAATTAATAAATTTTAATAGAATATTGTTACCTGAGGTTAAAGCTGACTTTTTTAAATCTTCTTTATTACTTGATAAATATTGTTCTCTAATAAAAAAATAGGGTATTTTATTTAGTATGCATCAAAATGGAAAATAAAATAAAAAATTACAAAATGTAATATTAGTTTTTGGTTTACTTTTGATTATCAGTTGTATCTTGCAACTCTTTATTTCTTAAAACAGTATGTTTTGGAACTGAAGCCAAATAATCTGTTGGGTCAAAATTTTTATAAGGAAATTTTACTACTTTATGTGATTTGACCCATTTTCCTTGAAGGTATTGAAAACGTTTAAGATGTACAATCTAAAATAAAAGAAGAAAAGTATATGTACTGTAAAAGAAAAATTGAAATAAGTTGATATATTATGAAATATATGACTTACCAGAATTGGAGGCAATCTCCAAATTTGTAATTTTTTAGAAGCTAATTGATGATCCTGACACGCAGAACAATAATACTTTTCAGCTTCACTGAGATGCTCTTCTTTGGTGAATGCAGCAAGACAAGATTCAAGACTTATTGGTTCAGTGTGCGAACACTGAGACTCACCAACACATTCATGTTCCTTTTGAATATTTTTTCAAATGTTAAGAATGTAAACTAAATTAAAATAAATTATAACTCACAGACTCTTGAGAGGTTTGATATCGTAAATGTAGAGCTGTTGGATCCCAATCTATTGCAATATGATTTGCAGCAAAAGTAAAATAAGCATCCGAGCATAAAATTGAACAACCTCGACAAAATCTATACCACGGGCACCATGAACAAAGAGTACCTTCTCTATTAACAGCTTTCAAAACAAAAGGAAATTCATAGCCAAGACTATCATCACTAAATCAAATAATACAAAAGGAATATTATATTCATACTTATATATTTAATAATCTTTAATTTTAAGCTACAATAATTATTTCATAATTACCAATCCATAGCATGATTAGGTACAGTAGATTCTGAAGGTGGTAATGGTGATACCAACCTAGCTACTTGTAACCATACTGCTTGATAAAGATCTTGATTTGTAGTAGATTCATTACATGGTAAAATAATTGGTAAGCCGAATATACTAGGTTTACTCTTATGAGCAGATATAAAATATACATCTTGTCTAATCTAAAATATGTAGATATTAAAATTAAATAATAACTAAAAAAAAAAATATTACTTATTGCACATATACTATTTTGAAAATTATTAAAGTTTTTTTAGTTACTAAGGTGCTTATAAATTTAAAGTTAGTTAAAAAATGAAATTTAAAATTTAGAAAAAAAATATAATATTCTTATACGAATTACCATTTTCCTATGTAATGCTACTACATAATTTGGAGTTTGATGAATTACATCACCGCTATCAGTCAAACTAAAACTACTAGCACTACAGTTTCCACTATCACCCATTGCAGAATTAATGGGTTCTTCTAAATTTATTTCAGTGTCCATTTGAGATCCTCCAACACTCTAAGAATAAATATAACATAAATATTATAATTTAAATACTAAAATAAACATAACAAATATACAGTTACATCGGTGTTATCAGTTGTCGATAAGTCTTCATTCAAGCTATTAGTTCGGTTACCATTTGATTGAGCTAAAAATTATATAATTATATAATATTATTTGAGGTATCAATAACAATAGTTTCTAATATATTTTGCTTAGAAACATTTTAATTTTATCATATTTAAACAAAAATACCATAATAAAGAAATTATTTTTTAATAATCTAAATCAGCGATTCCCTAACTTTTTTTTCCGTGGTGTCTTTTTTTAACACAATTTAGCCACGGTGCCACGGCTGTGAATAATATTAAAGAGAGAACCAAAAAAAATCTATTGATAACCGATTTTTTTTTGATAAAATTTAACTTAATTATAAATTAATGCATTTTTAAACTTAAAAAATAGATAAGTAAAAATTATTGTTATTATGATTATAATTATTATACAAAAATATTATAAGGTTAAAATGAGAATATCTGATTATATAATAGAAAATATTACATTATTTTCTTTAAAGTTCGTACAAAAACAATAAGGAAAAACAATTTTATACATTTTAAACTATTTGTTATGAACCCTAGACCACGGTGCACTTAAAAAGTGGTTGTGGTACCCCTAGGGCACCGCGGTGCATAGTTTGGAACCGCTGATTTAAATTATCCATATAAAATATATCATAAAGACTTACTAAGAATATTTCCTGGTCTAACAGTTCGTTGTATAGTAGTAAATGTTTGTGCAGCATCTCTTTGAGAATTAGATTTAGTTGAAGAAATTGACAAACGTTCTTCATCACCAGATACTTCTGAGCCCGGCCCCACTGACGTAGGTGGAGGCAACTCATATGCATACAATAGACTTCCAGGCTTCACTTTTTGTTCATCGACAATGATGTTCTAAAGATGCATAATTATTAAAATATTTTAATCTTATAAAATAACGTAAAAAAACTGATAAGAATAATTGTAGTGGCTAACTTTAATTTGAGCTCCAATTATTTCTGCAAGTTTTAAATTATTAGCAGATATTCCACTTAACATTGAAAGTTTAGATTTTACAACTGAATGTTTGTCATCAGCATTCATTCTTAAACCATATTTCACAGGAACTGTGCCATCCAGTTTAATCACTAATTTTAAATAATAATATTAAATTATTTTTTAGTCTTATTTTAGTATATTGTAATGTAATTTGGAACATTATGAGCAATAATAAATTAGAAGTTTTAAATTACAAAAATAAATTACTATTATAACAGGTTCCTTTATAATTCTTATTTAATTTTTCATCTTCTGGTAGGTACGGAAAATATACATGTTATAATAACAATTTTTTAAGTTGAAATATGAGAGAGAATTTCTACAATATTTTGGTTTTATCCAAAATTTAATTTTTTTTTTATTTTTAAGAGCAATTTTTTTTTTTTAATTTACATTACATTATATTATGTAAAAAAAAATAATTATTATCGAGGAAAACTGAACTTTGTACGATGTTGTTGAGTTTAAATTAAAAACTTTTATTTTAAAGCCATTTAAAACTTTTATTAAAACTAAAATATATATCTTAATAATACAAAAAAATATTACCTATAACTTGAAGACAGACATATGATTCCATCGGTAGAGGTAAAGATAAATAATTAAATGGATCAAATCTAACAGATTCATGACCACATTCTTTACATGTAACTTTAGACTTCAATTGACCATGAAATAAATCTACTATAATTGATTTATTTCTAACAATATGATTTTCCCAGGCCTAAAAATATTTTAATTATTTAATTAATTAGAATAACTATCAATAAGATGATAAAAAACAGAACAATATACAGTCAGTTCTCAGTAAAATGAAATTCAAGAAATCAAGAAAAAAGTTTGGTGTAACGAAAGTTTGTTATATCAAGAGCATAAACCAATAAAATTTGTTTTAACAAGATTCAAAAGAAAATTCAAAATTTAAATTGATACACTACAAATACGTATTCATTTTCATTTAATAATACATATATATATATATATATATATATTTATATAGATATAAATATTTACTAGACTATAAATATAAATACACAGTTAAATATAGATAATAAAAATTAATACATACAAATATTAAATAACACACTGTTGTGCATATTATATCTCTGTAGATAGTTTAAGAGGGCGCAGAGACTTAATTTTGTTTCCTTTAAAGGTTATATAATGTTTAGAGCTATTTTTCAACTAGAATATTATTTTATCTCATGATAATAACCAAAAAAAACTTTGTAATAACAAGCTATTTATTTTTAATTTATATTTCTTGTAATCATTATACACTAGCAGATATGTATATTATATTTTATAAAAAATTTGGAATATCAGGCTCCAAAATGATAAAAATTTGTTACATTGAAAGAGTTTTGGTCAAAAAAACTTTGTTGTATGACGAGTTGACTATACTTCAATTAATAATTAAAAATTAAAAATAATAATTTAAAAACCAACCTCTTCTGCAACAGTTACATCAGGTCTTCCTTCACTATCTGTTAACTCAGAATATGGCTTTCCATGAACTCGATTCAGATCTTCATGTAAACCATCTAATAAAAAGGCCAACAATTCTTGGGAGTCATGTTGTTGAAAACCATTAAATCGCGGTGCATACTTTCCAATCGTCCACTGAAAACATTAATGTTAAATTAAAATTATTTTACTAGCAATATATTAATTTGTAACATACTCTTAATTTAAGCGGTGCTATAGTTTTAGCAGTTCCTCTCCAAATTTCATGAATTAGATCACCATAACGTTTAGCTATACATCCTTTCATCCCTAATGGGTTAGACCTAAAAATATTAGATCAAATGAAAAAGTCATTTTTACCACATTTTAAAGATAAGAAATACATACCGATTAAGTTCATATAAATGCATATCATTGATAAAATATTGTGTGAGAAGTCTAGTATTACTAACACATTGTAATGCAGCATTCATAAAACAAGTGTTTCCTAAATTGTTTAGACCAGTAGCTCCTTTTTCAGCAGGCACTGTGCAAAGTATTTGAAACAAATAATAATATTAGTTTTATTATTATTGTTTTTTCTAAATTAACATTTTAAATCATATTAGTTTATATTCAATCAATTAATAATTATGAGATATAAAATAATTAATTTATAGTAAATCCTGCAATATTTTTTTTTTATATAACGAAATATGTCTTAAATTTTACTATTAATTATTAATATTACATTGAAGGTATGTACTATCAAAACAATTTTCAATAACTTACATTGTTTGCATTTATCCCCAGAATTAACAGAAAGAGAACTAATTTCTTCAGGCCAAGTTAAATCTTTGTTTCTTATTTCCATTATTATTTGATCTTCATCACAAACACCTAATTCTTCAAGTGTTTGATCTTCATCTTCAATTAATACCATATTGTTCTATGTAGATAGAATAAATTAATAAAAACTAATTATTTTATCAAATAAATATTCAAACCTCATCATGAAAATGCCAAAGTCTCATATCTTCTGCTTTTAACTTAAGTCTAGTACAAAGAAAATCATAAACATGTTTAACAGTTGATAACTTGCTGAAAGATGCCGTGTATGCAAGGTATCGCCGTGGCATAGAATTTACTAAATTTGATACATAATTATAACCAGTTGAACCTTTATAAGACAAACATTTTAAATTTATTAGTTACAAAATAAAAATAAATATTAGCATATAAGTTAATTTTACTTAATGCCGCTGCACCATATCCTCCAACTAATCCAGACCATGATCCTGCGTTAGGTGTAGGTGTCCTAGTAACATTAGTAATGGGACCAGTACCATTATTTAAAGTACCATTATGATGTTTTAACAATCTTAAAGTTAATGGATAAAGTTCTAATTCAGTTTCACCTGAACCTCTATTAGACTGAATAACCTACACAAATATACATAATTAATAGTTATAAATAAAATTATAGTTATATTTTAGAAATAATTTATAATTGATATCTAGTTTACCTGTCTAGGAAGTGCAGGTGAACCTCTATACCATTGTACAAGTGCTTTCCATAAAGAGTTTGGAACTAACTGAAAATCTCTACCACGCAGCAGCATATTTCGTTTTAGTTGACCTCCTTCACCTGTTAATGATGTAACTTTTGTTGCTGACACAGATACAAGTCCAGAATTGTTTATTGGACCAGGTTTACTTAGACTAACTTTTCTACTCATAATAGGAGATTGTGTTGGACTAAAATAATTTATAATAAATAACAGTAAATAAAATGGATATAATTTACAAATATTAATTTATTATAAGAATAAAATATAAATTTCTTACGATTCTTGTAAAGACGAATAAGAAGTTATTGAACCAACCCTTCGATGACCACCTGTACTTGGATCTAGAGGAGTTATTCCAGTGACAACCACCTAAAATAATAAAATATAAAATTATATTTGTTTATTTTATTAAAAAATGTATCCATACAGTAGGGTTATCAAGAGCGATACTATTTTCAAGAGACAATTGAGATTTTTTTGATGTAAGTTTGAAACTTGAAGTTTTTGAAAATGAACTAGTACCATCAAAAGAACAATAACTAGACATTTCACAACCGTTCTGAAATCCATAATATTTAGTTTATAACAAAATTATTACATTACATTTTTTTTTTTTTTACACAGTCTTACTTTAAAAGAATTTGAAACATAATCATTCCAATTTCGCCACCAATCCATTGAAATTAAATACCAAAGTTGACCAACAGCCAAACCTCTTCGTTCTTCACGGTCTAACCAGCCCTTGACAATTTCTCCTTCTTCAGCACGTGATACAGGTCTCAAACCAAACACTATATGGCAAACCTATGTCAAAATATTTTTTGTAAAACAAATGTAAAGAAATTTATAATAATTATACATTATACAAATTAAAATTGTATTGAATATTAAAATTATGAATAAAATAGTTTCTATAAAAAGTATACTGGTTCTATTTAAGTACTGAAAATGATTTATTAAATACTTAATAGAAGTCATAAAAAAACCACATAACTAATGAGAATAAAAAAGATTTACTTGAAAAATTAAATTCAAAAAATCCATTGGTAGTGAATTATGAACAGTCCACATCAAATATTCTCCAATTGCAAGACCTCTATCAGTAGAACGTTTAATTAAATCAAATACAATAATTTCTTTTACTAAAAAATTCAAACAAAAAATATTATAATCATAAAGTAACAAGTAAAATTAATTACAAATAATACCTGATTCATCAGTAGCTGCTTTATTCTGAGTGACTACATTATCTTCACATATGAAAAGCATAACATCAACCATTTTAGAAATTTCCTCTTTTGATAAAAAACCATCTTGGTCAGTATCAAATACTTTGAAGCAAACTAAAAAGTATTAGCTTATTAAAACAAAATCTCTAAAAATTTGTTTAAAAAAGTAAGAAAAAAAATTCATTGTAACATTATAACAATTTACATTTTTGACGCTCAGTTAAAGGTCCCCTACAAGCAGCTGAAATCCCGCAAGCCATTTCTTTGAAATCAATATGACCATCCATGTTCTCATCAAAAGCAGCAAACAAACCAGAACAAACATTCAATGGCATAGGAGGACTTATCAAAGGAATTAATGTTTTTAAATCCAATTTTCCAGATGAAGATTCTCCTTTTAATGACCAATAACATTTTTCTAATTCAATGATATCCGTTTCTTCCACTAAAATAAATATAATGTTTCATCATAAATCTGGTTATATTACATTATTAAAAAAAAAAAAAAAAAAAAATGCATAAATTGTTTTAAGCATTAATAATTTTTATTTAACTTTTAGTTTTTTTTCAATATGGTTAACAATTTTTTAATAAAGAGAATAATAAAATTGTAGGATTAATACTATTTTTAAATATATAGAATACATATTTTAACTGTTATATTTAATTCAAAAATTAAAAATAAAGAACAAAATATATAGTTTAAAAATTAAATAAATTTAGCAAATCATTAATGTTCAAGATTTAGAATCTATACATTTAATAATTCTTAGGATCAATATTTATTTGTACAAAACACATAGAATACTAACAGTGAGTTACTCCAGCAAGTGTTTGATAAAAAGTTGGCATTTCTAACTCATTACTCAGGGAAACAGAACATGGTTTAGATAGTAACCAACGAGTTAAAGATGTCGCATCAGGGTGTTGAGTTATCCAGGATCTGAATTCATCATAATTAACACGTTCTTGCTAAAAGTTTAATGTTGTCATTAAGTAAATACTCAGAGAATGTAAGATAAATTTAACTTACTTCTGAAAATAAAAACTTAACATGTTCTGATACAAACATACATTCAGATCCTTGTATAAGTCTTTGAAATTCTTCTCGTAAAATTACATTTTCACTTTCATTAGCATATAAATTAAATAAAACTGAAAATATTAATTTATTTCAAGGATTAGTTAGAAATGATTTTTAATTGTTACTTTGACTTACATTTGTATTTTTCTTCATTAGTACCTAGAGTCAAAAGTACCAACCCACAAACAAGATCTTTGAATATGATGCCTTTAGATGTACCCCCACAGGCTGAATAAACATACTGTAAAATATTGATTATTATTATTAATTGAAATATAAACAGATAATTTATATTAAAAAACATACATCTGCTATTGACAATGGAACTCCATCACCAAGAACTTCTTTAATGAATGAATGCTTAGTAATAGCTCCATTCACTGGTGACAGTCTTTTAAACGCTTCTCTCAGTCTTTTGAGTTCCAAATCACTGACTAAATATACCAAAACATAAACAATGAAAAAATAAATAAATAAGTAAATAAGTGAATAAGTACTTAGAAACTATAATAATCATGTTCAAAATTGTTCAAAATAATGTTTACGCCATACTTCTTTTAACTGCATCCTCATAAGTTATGCAGCTCGGTTTCGAATCTTTAGCTCCCATGATGCAAAATCACTGCCCAGATAAGTAGCAGTACATCAACCAATCTTTTGGCGCGAGCATTTCACATCAAACATTTTCTCATAGATATATGTTGGATGAAAATAAAAATCACAAATTCGCAATGAATGAAACTGATAAAAAAAAAAAAAAAAAAACGCCATATATTATCCGCCATTGCTAAAAGTGATAAAAATGAAACAAGTCAATAATTTTTTTTATTTAAATTCAACTAACTGGAATTATTATGTGCTATTGCTTTCAATTGATTAACATAAGACGTAGAAAATCACGCAATTACATCGTAGTGCTCGAGTAAAAAATCGTTTCGACAGACAAAATTATTGTCTTATTATTATTGTTGTTGTTGTTTATTATTGCTATTGATAATTTTCGTCGTATTCTAGTGACGGATGGTCAACGATATGAGTGAATGAGTACACCACGGTTAAAGTCCACGAACGGACAAAAAGAAAAATTAATAAAGACTAAAAATATAGATCTCAACGAGGGTGAAAAGCGTACTAATATTTTAGTAGATAACAAAATTTCATGGCCAAATTATAAAAGACATGCTCGCAAGATAATGTACCCACGTCATGAACGATACGGTGGGGCGTAGATTATAATATATAAATAAATCATGGAGAAAACGATACACCTATGCACATAGATTATATAACAATTATTATTATTATTATTATCATTATTATTGTTATTATTATTACTATTATAATTATTATTATTATTATTATTATTATTATTATTATTATTATTATTATTCTTAGTAATAATATCGTTCAACAGATAACACTTTTAAGACAACTATTAAAACACGACATAAAGTGGAAATATTTTTTATGTACATCGATCAATGCTTATATCATACACACGATCTATATATTTAATAAATAGTAATTATTTTAAATTGTAATCGATGTGGACCTTGTAACATGACATGGAATATATTATGTAAGGTTGTTGTAATAAATTATAATGCACACGAAAAGCATAATATAATCATAGTTAAGTTTAATATAATATGTCATATAATTAATGTTGTCTCGATCGTTCGTATTTTTTTCTCATGCCACGTACTGGTCTAGTGTTCTATAATATTATTATGCTCAAATTTCAGTTAGCTGGAGTCCAGTCACTCATTTATCTGTTTATTAAAAATAATTGATCATCTCACGAAACAAGGTTTTAAGTTTTCTTATTTGATATAATGTTTACGTCAAAGGCAAATTAAATTAAAAAAAAAAGTTCTTATAAAGCACTGATCCACCCATTACAATATTCTTATTATAACTTCAGGTAAATAGGCTAGTATATTTTCTCTGTGAATTGCTTAATGAATTGCGTTCCATAAATAAAATATTAATACACAGCTAGATGAATTGCGGCCGTGGCATTTTTTTTCATGTAGGGTATTGCATCCCCTCTAATCGTTCTAAACAATACAAATCAAAATATCTGGGATGAATTTCCATCATATCAATCATATTAAGGGCACAGCCTCGTCCCCTCGAAGAATATCATACAGAGATACTCATAGGTGGACATTTGGTTGAATTTTTGGGGGGGGGGGGCTATAATAATTCAATATAAAATAATCTGTAGGAACTTCGCCTCCACACCCCTTCCCATACACAAGTAAAACTTATTTTTATTAAAAATATAGAAATGTTTAAATTATGTTAAAAAAAAACACTAAATAACGTATATTTAAAAATAATTAATATTTTATTTTCAGGACAAATATCTATTTGTATCAGCAAAGATATTCAAAATATCATCGCTTTTTATATTTTTCTATATATTATTTTCAATATATAGTATTGAAAGATCGTTGAACCCATCTTGAACCCACGATATCCTTAGCCATGTTTTTATTTTTTTCGATGAACTGAAACTTCTTTCGCAAGTAGCTGAACTAATTGGTATTGTTAATGCTATTGTAAATAGTTTTTATTATTTATTATTTTGCGATTTTCAAAAAAACGAACAGACAATTATAAAAACAACGAATAACATTTCTAACAAATTTTCGATTTTGGGGGGGGGGGCTATTAAAATATAAGGAGGCTAAGCTTCCTCCCCTCTCCGATGTTCGTCTATGGAGATACCGGAGATGATGATCAGAGCTTACAGTTTTTGCGAATGTTTTAGAGGTTTCCTCTGTCCAATTCCATAAGTATACCAAAACGATTAAAAAAAGATCCTGATTCAAACGATTAGTCATTAAAAGTACAATATCATTAGATATCTATAGTGTGTCCATTAGTATTATATAATAGATTCTAATAAGTAAGTCGTGGTCTCTAGATACCACCCATACCTGAAATAGTTCAGCAATTTAATAAATAATTTTGTAGTGTCTTATAATTTTTAATATAAAATATTTTAGTAGTACAGAAAAACCTCGATAAGACGGAATCGCTTGGGACCATGACATTTTTCTGTGTTAACGGGGTTTCCGTCTTACCGAGGTTTTACTGTATCTTACTTAATTTTATGAAACTTATTATCATTATTATTTTACAGTTTAGTTTGATGGTAAGTTATCAATTTTTGGTTATAGGGATTTGGAAGTGATAATATAAAATGCACAACGCAAAAATGAGGATCTACGTTGTTTATATGTATAGAATACCTGTTATAATATTATGTTTATGTATATGTTACCGGAAAAGATGACAATCAGTCAGTGTTGACAATGAACAATAATGATTATGCCTGATTTTGTAAGGAATTAACGTCAATACCTAGTCATTGATGACAATTCCTAATAAAAGAAGGCATTGATGATAACATTAAAAATGAATTTGATATATTTTAATACTTATTAGCTATTTGGGATAAATCATAATCTTAATCTTTAATGTTACGTGGTAAACTACTATGACACTTGGAATTATATAATCTTGTACAGCGGTTCCCAAACTGTGCTCCGCGGAGCCCTTGGTGCTCCGCAATGGCTTGCCTAGGGCTCCGTTCGTAACACCACAAAAAATTTAAAAAAATGTTCGTTATTTAAAATTAACATATATTTCATGAAAACTTGAATGTTCCATAATCAAATCGATCATCGATAAAGCGGTGTTGATTTGTTTGGATGCGGATTTATAACATTGCGCAATATAATACGGAAATGTTGATTAACTACGAAATATCTAATATTGCCTATCCTTTCCAATCATTGTCGACAATGGCTAGGATATATCGACAATTTCTGAATTCTCATGTTTTCCGGTAACATATATATATATATAGATTGATAAATACAACTGATACAAACAAATGTGCTTAAATCCATAGGTAATTTTACCATGAGCATACAATTAGAGGATTTTACTTAAAAGCATATAGGTAGTAGTTTTGCTTATAAAATGTGTACCATATAAAATATATGACATTTTTATAATTAATTTTAAATATTAGCCATAGTTAATTTAAATATTTTCATATTTGTTAAATATATTATATAGAGATATAAACGTTTCCATATTACCTATTTTCAGTTTTGAAAAAATAGGAAAACCAATGTTCGGAATCATTGTTAACTTAAAAATTGAAATCGTTCACGTTCATGTTCATTTTTTTTTAAGTGAATACGTTCACATTCAAGTTCTATGAAAAAATTAACGCGTTAATTTAATTTTTATTTATAAATCACCATCCGGTATTCTGTTTCAATGAAACCTTTACAAAATGTATTAGGTATATTTTATTTTGAATTTAAAACCTATACTTATACCTAATTTAACCTCTTATTAGGTGCAAGATACATTCACCCCAGTAAATATATAAAAATAAATAACTATTTTATATATTTTTATACGTCTATTATATGTATTATGTATCCATAATTAATTTAATAAAAAATTGGTAATGTATATAACAATTATTTTAATCTTACCCTATTGATATATTAAACACTACACACTGAAATATAGTAAGTTTTATTATTGTCTATATCTTATTTTACTTCGAACTTCAGGTTCGAAGGTAATATAATAGTTTGATAGCAGTATAGAATACGAAATATTTGAGTTTAACCGATCATTTTTCCAACTGAAAAATGCCAAGCTATAGCTATATATAGTCTTTTTACAAGTTACCGGTTTGAGTGTTATGTTATAGACTGGCTAATGGTTTTACGAAGTTGATTAACTAATCGTTATTAAATTAGCTTCATCATTAGTTAGTTTACCTTGGCAAATTTATAATTTCGGAAAAAAACGACAAGTCATTTCGGTGTTCGGTTGTTTATATTGAATGTTCAGATTCCTGAAATGCCGTACACATGTTTTACATAATATCTGTTTTCAACAAAATATAATTAATAATTAGTGCGCAGAGATGAACCCTTGACGTCACGTATTCATCTAGCACGTTATGCGTACTGCGAATGGTCATTCCATTTAAACGTCTTAAACGTGACAAATATTATTTCTCTTTGCATCTTTATGCACCTAACTTCACCATACAAGCCATCTGATATACAGATGGAATCATTTCTTGTGCACTACCTAAATTAGGTAGTACCTGATAATATTCAGAGGGTTAAATCAAGTTTAAACAATGATAGTTTTGTACATTAGTAGCTGACATGCTTTACACTGCCGCTACCATATGTCCGTCATTCCTAACCTCTCCGCTGCATTTTCGGTAACCCATGTTCTTATCTTATCTCGCTCCATACGGCTGTTCTTGTTACCTTATCAATTATAAAATATATGTGTAAATTATGGAAAAAGTTGTATTTGTGTAGCGCGTGTAGCCTTTTTAGCGTGCTTCATAACGTTAATTAATCTGTTTATTTGATCCAATCATCAACGAATACAACGAATCGTCTTCTTATAATTAGTGATTTCTCAGATTATTTATTAAACCTTGATCTACAATATGAACCCGAGCGAAAACAAGGAAGACATCAAATATTGTTTCAATTGGTAAATATTAAAATTATTTAGTCTACTACTACTTTTTACTCAATATTATTACTATTATTACACATTTGGTCTAGTATAAACGATTCAAAACTAAGAAAATTTGTTGAGGATTATATTGAGTTGAATTCCTCAATTATGTATCAGATTGAATATCACCACTCCAGTCTCTCAAAAAATATATTTCTTTTTTAATTCTGAGTATTATGATTGATAATATTTACCTATTTGTTTAAATCATTCGAATATTATATATAATATCATATTTCTATTTAAACGAGAACATAATTTTTACCATATCAACTACTTAAATTTATGATGGCTGGCAAACATATCTAATTATAACTAAAACCAGTCATGAACTCTACATATAAAAATATAAAAATATATAAAATTATAATTATGATTAATATAAACTACCTGTTGTTTTATTTTATTACTAATATCTGTGATATATTCACATTTTAATTCAAATGTCAAGTATTTAAACTATAATTAAAAATGTAAAATGAGAATTAAAGAATTTCAAGATTTTATTTTATCTCAAATTAATCCAATAATAAGCCATTTAAATATTATCATTGAAAAGCAATTGTATTATATTGAGCTTTTAAACGCTCTATTATTTATTTTTTATATAATGTACTATGATATTATGTATCATTAAATATGAGAGAAAAGTAGTTGCTAATGGCTAAATAAATATAAACCATTGGAGTACCTATATTTGTTTAAATTATTTTATTTTTTATTTTTATTTTTATATAAATGTATAAAAATAACAAATAAATATATTATTATAGTGCAAGTATAATTATACTAATTATTTTTTTTTAGATTATTAAATGTGTTCTATTTAGCCATTATATCTAAACTATATTAACACATAGGTTTTTTCATATTTATATATATGAACTCACTTTTGTATATTATACTTAATTTTTATGACTAAAATAGTGAAATCTGAATTTTGAAAGGAAAGCTCATTTATATATTTTTCTGAAAAGAGATTTATTTATTATTAATTATAAAAATTTCTATTTTATTTGAACAAATAATTATAAATAGACTTAACTTTTTTATTTGGAAGTAAATTTAATAACTAGTACTTTCAGAAAGGACACCTACTCATAATATGCTTTCTTTGTGCTATAGTATTGACTATATTATATTATTTATACTATTGACTGTTAATTTTTCAAAATTTTATGTAACTTTATACAATTTATATATTTTTTGTATGTATTCAAAGTTGTACTAATTTACCGAGTAAAAGGAAAAAGCCTCATTAATTATATTGTATATGTTAATATAGTAATTAATGCGGTTATTAACAACTACTATGATATTATGTTTTAGGCATTTTTAATTATTTGGCAATTTTGATATTTATTAATATTATAAACATAAATTAGTTATTATAATATTTATTAATCATAATGTTATATTATGATTTTAGCCGAAGAAATATCCCAATCAGTAATCATGTTATGCATATAGCATACTGTCATCGGAACCTGAAGCTTTGCATTAAATGTGATGAACCATTCTTAACTTCTGAATTTGAAGAGCATCAGAAAACCATGCATGCAGATATTTTTTGTGATGCATGTGCTGAAAAACTTGAAGCATTAGATTTAGAATTACATAAAGTAATACATTTTATTTATTTATTTTTTTAATTTTAGCATTAATATTTGTTATACTGTTTAGTTACATGACTGTCCATATCGTTTGGTAACCTGTAACTTTTGTGAAATTGATCTTAAAGCTTCAATGTTACCTGCACATATAGATATGTGCAGTAGTCGCACAGAACGGTGTAATGATTGTGGACAATTTATCATGCTCAAATTCATTGATGTTCATAAAGAAAGCCATAAACTTAAAAAAATTCCTATTGGTAAGAAAATGTTCTATAATATTAGAAATTTTAATTTGATAAAACTATAATTTTAATTTAAGTTGCAAAACCAATATTAGACAACAGTCCTGAAAGTTTAGCAGCTTATCCTCCATTAATAAAAAAAGTGTCAAAAATAGCACTTGATGAAACTGCAAGAGCCACTACAAGGGCTACTAGTATGCCTTCATTAAGACTAAGTGGACCAATTATGACCAACCACAGGGTATCATCACCAGCCAAACATAACAATGATCAACCACAAATTAATACACTAAACAACAATGACAACACCCACAAAGATCCAAAACAGAATATGTCTATAGTAGACATTACAAATGGTAAGTATAATTTTACTAACTTTTTTGTGTATACTTTACTGAACAATTGGTTTTATATAAATATTAAAACTATATGTATTCTTCTCTATTATTGGTATATTCAGTATTTTAAATCATTCATACTATAAAAAAAAAGTATATTTTACTACTCTTTATTCTTATTAATACCATTTTATGTTGATTAATTATATAATTTTATTTTTTTTTTCAAATTTGATGAGTACTGTTTATCTTCAATTGTATGTGTTTTGATTACTTCATTTATATTTGTTTCATGAACAATTGGTTTTATATTATTACTGAAACCGTGTTTTTCTCTGTTATCAGTATATTCAAGTATTTTAAATCATTCATACTATAATAAAAAAAAGTATACTACTACTCACTGTTCTTGATAATATTAATTCGTAAAGATCAAATATATAATTTTGTTTGTTTTTCTTCTTATTCGATGGGTACTGTTTATCTTAATTTTTTATGTATTTTAATTATTTATTTATTGGTAAAAATTTGATTGTAGATGTTAATTATTATACTATTTTCTACTGTATTAGATTATGCTTTGTTTTTATAGTTCTATATTTTAAGGTTTTACTATTCATTTAAATTAACATAATTCAAACGGTTAAAATTTAATAGATGATGATGAGTTTTCTATACTTGGTGCTCATTCTATTCATAATAATCAGTCACCGAATATCAATAATGTTTCAACAAATGAGTACAATCATTATTCTGATGAGTTGAGAGGTGTGCAACTGCCTTGCGAATTCTGTCAAAAAATGATTGACTCTGAAAATCTAGTTTTGCATGAAGTAAGTTATAAAATATGATATCTTTGTTGTTTATTTGTATTTCAATATTATAAAGTTAATTTAATTAAAATTTTTATTTTTTATAGACTGGATGTCGTCCTGATTTAGTTACATTTCATAATGTGTTACGTACGAAAAATAAATGTACCAATAACCAAAATGATAATTTTCCTGTACCACCTTTGGATCTTGACAGTAGTAGCAGTGATAGTGAAATTAACTTGAATACATTGAGTTTAAGCTCAGATGATGATGACAATAGTGATAAAACAAATGTAGAAAAATTACCTTGTGAATTTTGTGAAGAATTGATATCTATTAAAAAACTAATAAATCATCAAGTAATTATTTTACTATCAATATATTATATTATTTACTAAGTATCTATTTAAAATATGCAGAAATGTTATTCTATTTGCTGCATAATATTTTAAATTGTTTTTATTAAAAAAAAAAATCATTTTTATGGTATATGTCATGAAAATGATTTCTGATTTCTGACACCATTATATCCTGAATTCTATCCCATCTATGGTCATAATTTTTAATCTACCATGAAAATGTGCTGTCTAACACATGCATGTTTAATTTAAAATACCATGCATGGCCTTCAATGATTGTACTTAGTAATAATATATCATATTTTATTATTGAGTAAAAATGAAGTTAAAAAATATTAGAATTTAATTACTTTTGATTAGTTAATAATTTTAAGTGTGAAATTCGTCTGTAGTGTGGTAGGCAACTGCCGTTTTCACGACAAAATTAGCCCTTTTAGGTTTTATATTATTAAAATTGCATTAATGTTTTTAGATAAGGTGTGAAAAAATACATTCAGATTTGTCTATAGTAAACAATTTGGATGAAGAAGTATTTTTGCCTCCATCAGATAGTTTACCTTCTAATTTCCCAAATTCAGCTATTATTGAATCTAACCGTAATCTATTCAAACAAACATCAGGTAATATTTAAATTTTATAATTATAGTAATTTAACACTTATATAATTAATATTATGAGTTTTTTATATATAATAATTATAATATATTACTTAAAAATATTTTGCTCTCAATTTGAAAAGCTCTTATTAAAATTCATTACATATATTTATTAATATATAAATTTTTATAATTCAGTTTCAAATTAATAATGTTTCATTAGTTTTATTATTTCTAACATATCTTAATTTTTTCAATCAATACAAACTTTGAGTTGATTTTTGTACAGTCAAAATTCTACTATATTTTTACAGTATTTTATTTACATATTTTGAAAGCAACAAATCCAGGACATATTGAATTGAACTTTTTTTTCCTGTTTATGTTTAGAAAGGAAAATAAAGAGTATAATTTTTACGGTCTAGATATGTAGAATTAAAAATATAAAATCTTTTTTTGTTGATTATTGCATGTTCATGATAATATATATTTATCAATAAGTGTTATTAAAGTTGGTATTTCTTTGCTGTAAACTTCACTCGGAGACATTTGTGCATCCCAATAAATTTCTAAATAATACCAGAGCATGTATTGAAAATGGTAGTGTTACTGCAAATCTAGGATAGCAAACTCTAAATTAATTTAATTTTGACTTGAAATTTATTGTTCCAGCTAATCAATATGATAGAACATTAATGTACCCAGATGCTTATGCTCAATCACCTGCATCTTCAACATATGAGTCATGTACAGCACCAATGCTACCAAGAGTCAAGTTAAATAAGCAAATTTCTAATAAACAGCTATGGACTGATAATTGTTATGTTAACAGTTCTGCTAGGAACAACTACGAACAATTTTTATCTAAGTAAGTTTTTATAGATGATTTTAAATATTTTATATAATTGTTAATGTATTCAAAACATGATCAGATTAAATGTATGAAATAAGTTATGTTGTATTCAACTTGATATTTAACTATATTTTGTTAGCTAAATGGTTTTCATAAAATTATAAATTAAAAATAATATAATTGTACTAATGAAAAGAAAATTGTATTTGCACTGTGTATTCATCAAAAAACTATATGTCCAGGACTGTAAAAATGTATAATTTAAGTAAAATACGAATACATGTCAAGTAAATGAAATATATAAGAGTAGTAAAGTATAAATAACACAAGATTAATTTTATTTTTCTCAGTTTTGTGTGCATTTTATATCTTGATATTTTTACCTTTAAGCTTTTTGCTGGGTTTCTTTAAGTAAAATGACTTAATTATTATTATCTTACATTTTTGTTTATCTTTAGTATTCATTAACAATAATTGTATTAAATTAAGTTCTAGATTAAATCGTCCAGAATTGACCTTGGAAAGAAATAATTCTCATTTATTTTTAAATCCATCTGGTGGTGCTATACCTAAACAAAATAATTCAAAAGCTAACTGTAATAAGAGAGTAATAAACAACTGTGAGTTAAAATAAATGTTTTTATTATTAGCTTGACAAAAATTAAATTATATTTATGTATGTTACAGTATCAAAACGTAGAGATTCTAATTCATCAAGCGACTGAGTAATATTTCTGTTCTTACTGTTAACTATACTTAATTATAAGAAGACTATTCGGTTAAATCTAAATAATTTAAGTTTTTTATGATGTTTTTCTTTATTAATTTTTTATATTAAGTGTTAAGTGCTGTAATTAATTAGTTTTGCATTATAGATTGCAAACTATTATATTCTGATATCCTATAAAATAAATTTGTTTTACTATGTTGTATTAAGTATTAAGTATTTTATTCGTATATAACTATTTTTCAATGACAAATGTGATTATTTTATAAATAAGCCAATATTATCGGTATAACAATATAAGCTCTCTACAAAATCATTAAGTTTATCTTTTTAACTTGACCTATATTTTTAAAATATTGTTAAGCAAAATTTAACAGTTAATTTTTTATTTTATTGATTAAGTTAAATATTGTTCATACTTATTTATTCATTAAAATTCCTTTAAAATTATGTGTACAAAAATAAATAACATCCATAAACAAAATAATATACCAACACTACGTGATTATTAAATATTAGTAACACTAAAATTATAATTAAAAAAAATAATTATACTTAAATTTAATGTTGCATAAGAATTGATAAAAATATTTTCTTCTTCAAATAACTAAAAATTACAGTTAAGTCTTTGAGTAAAAATAACTTATATAATTTGATTACCTACGAATTTAATGCAAAACTATCAAGTATCATCATTAGGTCTTAGATATTGCATTTGCAACTTTTTTTTCTTCAATTTTTCGAATTTATTGCTAAGTTATATATTTGTTTCATGCAAGTACAAATTGAAATCTAAAAAAATTTGGTGCTACATTATGCAATTTTTGGCATTTTCCTAATTTTCAATACAACTTAAAGTTAGGTTAGTTGGATTTAAGAAATAATAATAAATAATAATTGATGGTTATTTTGGACTATGTCGATATGATGGTAGTAGTGGAAATATTGATAAGATGATGAATGAATTGCACAATGTGCTGTTCTCAAAACAAAGATTTTTCAAGTTAAACAGTTTAAAAAAATCAAATAAAATGTTGATAATTTTGTTTATAGGCTCCTAAAAGACCAGGCTAAAACCACTATTAAAAAATTAATATGAATTCTTATTTTGTAAAAGATCACATTTGCAGTTTAAGTCTTAATAACAAATACTTATAAAATAATATTTTTTTAAATAGTTATTTTGGTAAATAAAAGTTTACTGTAATTTTTTACTGCAATAATGCAATCAATTTTAATGCTTTTTAGTATTAAAACTTCCAAACTCTTATCATCATTGAATTGCATTTCTTAAATATATTATAAATTATTATTGCATCACCAAGTCTGTCTTGTCACTTACGATATCAAGAAGGTTCGCTATTTAGAAAACAAAAGTTTTAATTATAGTGCTTGGAATATATATTACTGCATAATGGATTTAATTTATAACCGCAGTATTTGTGATCAAAATTAAAGAAACTTCAGTAAGAATACAAACAAATTGGTTTACTGTAAAACAAATGATTTTTATAATAGTCATAAATAGGGCGCGGATTTTAATGCCCTAAAAAACAACACCTTAAAATTCAATTTAGACATAAAAACTGTATTATAAATGTAATTAATAATGTAAAAAATGTGAACAATGAGTACCAATAGTGCACTAAATTTAGTTTATTTGATCAATGCTTTCCATACATGGTCTGTATTATTATGATTATAGACTATTATACCATAATTTAATGACATAATGATAATATAAGATAATAAAATGTAGTTGTACATTAGGTAAGGATTTATAAAAAAAAAAATAATGCAGTCTGCAATGAAATCGGTGCCCGTAAAAAAGATATTTTTTTTTGCTTTTGTCATAAACATTACATAGCTATGCAATTAGAATATATAGAATTTAAGCAGTTAACAATTTGTAACAAAAAACAAATATTTAAGTATATATAAGGTAATAAGCTTGAATTATTGAAAATATATTATGAAATTAATAATGTAATAGATGGTAAGGAGATAGGAAGCAGGAAATTTTGGAAATGGAAAGATGTGTGAAGAATTTTGTGGTAACAGCCAGGTTAGTATTTTAATTATTATTATATATAAGTATATTCAGACGTGATTGGGAAGCCAAAAAAAATTGATAGTTTAAACATAAACTAATAAAAAAAATTAGGGATTTAATGATGATGATTAAGGGAGAGAGGGGGATTGAATGAGTTTGAGGAAAGAGCAAGGAGGCAAGACTATGAGTTAGAGATAATGAAGACGTTTTTGGAATCAAAAGTGAAGATGTAATAATGAGTAGTTATCATTGCATAACATTCGGAATAAGCATATTTAATATGTATTTTTATTTTTAGAATAACAATTGAATAATTAATTAGATTGCAAGAACTCAGAACTTAAGGCATTGTTTTAGTTCAATACCGTATATAATAGTCATTATATTTATTTTTTAAAATTAAATAAAATACAACAAAAATGATAAAACTAATACAAAATAAAAGAGAACATTTAACTTTAAGTATAATTTAATTTGATATCACATTTAATACATAAATATAATACTATAAGATCATTAACCTTTTACGATCAATATGCAGTTTGAATAATTGCATCTTCCATTTATCTATTACATTAATAAGGTCCATATACTCAAAAAATCCTGCAGATCTTATAACAGCATAAAAGAAGTGGTACATACATTCGAGTTTTTCTTCATTTTTATACAAATCAAGTGTAACTACAACATGATCTAATAATTTAATAATACGATGTAGTATTATTTTTGGTTTTCGATGTAAATAATCTTTAGTTACCATATCTTGTACAAACCTGTAAACAATATGATTTATTATTGATAAATTTTCAAACAAAATTATAAAAACAAAATATTGATACTTATTGGGAATTTGAAATATTAAATACAGTAAAAATCGCTTAAGACGCTCTTGAAGGGATCACGTCATGTAATGACTCACAAAGTATTTTAATTATTTATTTCTATTTTATTCCATATTAAATCATTTTTGTTTGATTAAGATTCTGACAATTTGTTTCAGCATAACCATTTTCAATTTTATTGATATAACTATCAATTCTTCAACATTTTCTACAGAATATATTACTTCTTGAATTTCTGATAGGTGTTGCAAATCAGCAGTAATTGTAGGAGTTAATACTACTGAATTGTTTGGATACACTTAAATCTCATATGATGAAATATGTACTTACTCAATAAAATAATGTAGGTAGTACGATAATACAATAAGTACACCTAAAAGAGTAAAATTACTATTTTTATTTTCACATAACTACTTAACTTTATGGTAATCTGCTGAACAAAAGAGCATCTTATATAATTAAATAGTAAAAAAATCTAGTGTCTTAACAGATGGTTTTTACATTGACTAGTATAGGAAATGTTCAGGGATCAACTTAGTGTCTTATGCAAGGTTTACTGTATTATAAAAACTATACTTTTATTACTTTAACTCATAATTTCAATAAACCATAAATAAAACTTACCAGTCATTTAAAGTAGGAAATACATTTTTGTCATCTGATATTCCTAAAAGTGATTTTAACAATTTAAATGTGATATATTTATAAATTATTTTCATTGTTTGTCCATAGTTATCCAAAGGTAGAAATAAATTTATCATTTTCAATAGTTGAGTTTTTGTATACTTAGAATACAGGTCATCAGCAAATGATGTAATAGCAATCTCATCATTTTCACGCAATGTTTTTTCAATACACGCACAAAATAATTGTTTTATCACATTTATCATCCTTCTGCAATAGCGATCAAAAGATATGGTAACAGAGATATTGGCTAATTTCAAGAGATCATTGTCAGTAAGTCCATTGTTGGTTTTCAGCACATTATGTGTAATGAATTTCATTACTAATTCAAAGTTATGTTGTCCTATTTTGTTGTCATTGTTTATTTCACATTTTAATAATGGCTTATTTGCCAAAGTATCAAAATCAGCACCCCAATTACATAAAACATTTTTTATATCCTAAAAATTTAAATTAAGTATTAATCATTATAATGCAAAAATATTGTAAAGCTATTTATAAATTAATGAATGTAATTTATGAACCTTTTCTTTTTCTCTTAAAATACACAGTTTAAACATTTATAATATAGAGCAATCAGAATAGATCTGAATAGACTCAGTTTGGTAAAAATAATATATTAAGTTATTTCATGTACTGTTTTTTTTTTTTTTTTTAATACTCTTTCAAAGAATTAAATCACTAAGTAATTAAATTAATAACAACTGCTAAAAAGATTTTGTTAAAGGTATCAGCGCTAGACTAAACATTTAAAGAAAGACATTCTTGAAGAATTATGATTATAAATATATAAAATATATATTATTAGAACCTAACCTAATACAAATAATATTATTAAAGAAATAGAACACATAAATTATCCTATCAGATATTAAATACTAATGAGTAGGGAACAGATTTATATGTAAATGCATATTTTTATTAAAACGAGGTATTTAAGATTCGATAAGAAATGTTTATGATTTAAATCATTCCTATTAAAATTATGATACTTTTATTTTACATATTTTGGTATAATTACATATTTTTACATATTTCACTAATTTTTAAATATATTTTTATCATTTCATCATTCATGCGTCTTCTTCGTACGAAAATACAAGAAATTATTTAAAAATTATATCCAGAAACTTTTATCTCTATTGGCAAAGCTCAAAATATTATGCAAAATGAAACATTGAAAATAATTTAATTTTAATTAAAAATAATTTAACAAAATTATTAATAAAAAATATTTCACCAAATGATAGTATGCAAATTGTGGAATCAGCGATTAAAACTCGTAAGCGGACCAATAAATGTCGTAAAAAAGAAAATTCATGCTGTTACAGAAAAAAATTCCAGGCAATATTGATTTTAAAACAATCAATGACATAATGAATGGCAGACAACCTTTTAAAAATTTGGAATTATCGCCTTCTGATAGTATGCACTTGAAATATGCTTTTAATACATCGATTGATGTGAAACGATAATTTAGCCGCTTTAAAAGTATTTTGATACCTAATAGGAGACATTTAACATTTGATAATTTACAAGATATTGTAATAATTCAATGCAACAAATCTTTTTGATAATTTAATAATAATAATCACTTTTTTTTAAATTTTTTTTTCCCCACATATTTGGATGTTTTTAGCACATATTTTATAAATTATACTTACATATATATGTACATATTTCTGTATTTTTATTACATATAAATCCGTTCCCTATTAATGAGTAATATCTCGCTGATTCAATTACCCACTTATCACCAAAATATGAGGTAGGTCCCCTTACACTACATATATATAAATTGGTGCCAATGGTTGTAGCATGAAGATTTAGTTGACATACATAACAGCATTGATTTTCTTATCGGTCATCTATCATTATGTTTAGTTGTAGTGTATGCCCATAAATGTTAATGATTCATATAATTAAAATTAATCTATAAATATCTAGAATAGAGATTTCTTTATTTCTTTGAAACAGATCTTTATAAGAAAGGAAAAACTTATCATAAAAAAAAAAAAAAAAAGGTTACTATAAATTAGACTAGTAATACTTAATAGTTTAGTTTTATACATACGTCCAATACCGGAGACCAATTTTCTTCCATTAAATATTTAAAATAAACATTAGCTGTAGATACATTTTTACTTTTAGACATTTTAATGAATATTTTTTGAGAATTAGATAATGATTTATAAGAATCTGAATTATTTTTAAAGATCGAGTTATACTTAGAATGATCAAATATAATGTATCCATGTTTGGTTGACTCAGGTGAACTTTGCTTTTCATTACAAATAGAAAATACTTTTATTGAATCTTGAAACAAATCATCAACAACTTTTAACTGTTCATCAAGTTCAGCACTTTTTTTCTTATATTCATTATAAACTTTTCTTTCTTTTAGAATTTTTCGTATATCAAATTTATAAGGTCTGCGTTGTTTTTCATTAGACACATTAATATTGTTTGGAACATCATTTTCATCATTCACAATATTTTTCTTAAATTTCGGCATGCTAAATCATAAAAAAATAAGTATTAGATTTTTAACGAATTATAAACAATTGGTAAAATAGGTCATCTCATATACTATAAATTAAACTTAGAGTTTAAACGGTTATTGAGTTTAAGTTAAGAAGGCATCACACCCGCATGTATTGTCTCTATCTGACATACATACAACAGCAAATTTGTGTTCAGTAATTCAAATGTTAGTGATGTTAGCTTTAATATTAGAGTAAGCTGGCCTATAATCAAACTTTAAGAGAAGAACATTATCTGTGTTTTGTTGGTTGGTTTTTTCCAATATTTTAATTTTTAAGCGTATTATGAATATGTAAAATATAACAATTAAAAAAACATCATAATTCAGTAAAAAATTAAAATATCGGAAAAAAACCAATCAATAATAATAATAATTATCACAGATAATTTTCTTCCTTTAAAGTTTGATTATAGGTCAGTATACTCTAATATTAAAGTTAACTTCACCACATTTGAACTACTGAATGCAAACTTACTATGTTGTATGTATATCAGATGAAGACAATACATGAAGGTGTGGTGTCCTCTTAAGTAGTGGGCATAAGCTACATAAAGCCTATCATGATGGTTGAATATTAATTTCCTATGGATACCGGGTTAGTTTAAACAGAACGATTCTAGTTTAGCAACCTATCGATTTTTTTAATTTTTTTTTTCAAAATGTGTATTTTAAAATATTTTATAAGTATGTAAAAAAAAAAGAAACCCAAAACTTCATTTTGAAGTTATTGATGATAAACTTCAAAAACTTGAAGTGATGTCCCTTGTGATATTTACGCCTTCTGAATTTTGATTCGTCAATTTCAACAATTGACCCGGGTCCACCTACATACGAAGTGTTTATGAAGAATAATGGACTAAAAATTGTCTAATAGTGTAAAAATGAAATAAAATTTTTTTGCAAACAATGCGTGTGGTATCGGCAATGACCAAAAAACTATTGTACAAGTGTTTTGGCACTCATCGCTACGCTCCTTAGCGCCATCGCTTCATTTCGCAAATCGAAAATATCCCTCAACTTGTTATGCAAAACCACCTCAAGTAGGTAACAGGGACAATAAAAATGTAAATATGTGAAAATTAAAATTAAATATTCAATTCTAAGTATTTTTTTAATAAAAATGCGCGTTATGAAAAAAATTAAGTTTTTGAAGTTTTACATTAATAACTTAAAAATAAAGTTTGTCCAGGCTTCTTTTTTTTTACATACTTATATAACACTCTAAAACACCCATTCTAGAAAAATAAATTAAAAAAATCGATAGTAAATCGATGCTAAACTAGAATTATGTTGTTTAAACTCAAATGCAATAGCGAGTCAGTGGCATACCTAGTTAGGATTTTTTCAAGCGAAGGATATCTCATACTAATTTCTCAAACAATACAATTTAGACATATTTAATAACTTATAAAATAAAAACTTATAACTTAGTATATAGTTAAATCAAAATAAGCTAAATAAAATAAGAAATATTTGATTCTATAGAACTTCCAACTTTTAAGAATTTAAAAACTTATAAACAAAGTTACATAATTAAAAACGTTCCTTCACTTATATTCACCACTGACTAGAGGGAGGATTTGTCCCTAACATCACTCCCATAAAGAGGTATCACAGAGTGAACAATATAAAAAAAAAAAAATGTATAACACATACTTGAAATCATTCATAACCCGAGCTTCACTCGAAATCACAAAACATAAAAGAAAAGACAGTTTTCGAACGATGTTCACGTTATATGTACAGCACAGACAGTACCGTTAAACGCAGTAATTGGTGTATGAAAGCGGAGAAATGAGAGAATGAGCTTCGAGCGGGAAATTATATGAAATAAAACGTGTATGATTAATTAATGTTTTAACATCAAATAAAATATCCACAAGTTTGGTCTAAAAATAACCGTTTTCCGCTTGATTATCAATATCAAAAAAATAATAAATGATAACATAAATACCACAAAAAATCTTTGGAAAATACAAACATTTCAAAATGAAACGCACCACAGAACATCACATGGTGAATATTCATGGTCTTGAGAAAAAAAACACCAGTGGATATAAACATCATGAAAAAAATACATACCGTTCAGCGGTCACACTGTACACATGTGTCCAAGACTACAGTGTCAATGTTCACAGCTGATAATGCGTGCGTATTACTATCACCTTCAACTCGCTGTCCTCACCGAAATCGTGAATCATATTTGAGTTATTATATTCGAACATTTTCTTGAGACTTAAATCTTAAGCTTAAATACTTGCCTGGCAAAGACGAACAGGTAATAATAGTGTAAATTGAATCTACTTTTAACATTAGTTTTTTTTTTCGATTCATACCAATTGCTCGAATACCGCAATAATTTTCGTTTCACGATTTGATATTAATTAGTATTCCTATTTAATTAGTTATCCTTATGGTCTGCACTAATTCATCATCTGATTTAAATTTGGGAATAAATGCTTACTATGGTTGATTAATGCAAACAAATAATCTTATAGAGTTCAAGTCTTGTATCATATTATTTCTCAAAATTGAAATTGAAAATTTTCCTTCATTAACCTGTGTTTAATACAGTACTATATTTTCCAAATTTAGACTGTGAGTAAGTTGAGTTCAATTTTTTTATTTATTTTAAACTTTCAATTTTATTTTATATTGACACTTTCTGTTTAATACTTTTGTATTTTTCAAACTTTAAATAATGTTTTATGCAGTGAAAAAAAATGATTTATATTTCTCTTCTCTTTAATTCCAGTGATTAATAATAATTGTTACTTTGGTCTTTTTATTAATATTTAAAAATTTTATATTATGACTAGAACTATATATTGAACTTGCATTTGTATTATATTACTGAATAATGATTTATTTTCTAGGTAATAAACATGTCGATTGTTAATGTATTATATAAAACTGTTTTGAAGAGGCCGTCTCGCTTCTTTGTTGTGGTTGCTGTTACATCTCTGTTTTTTGAAAGAACAGTTGATATCGGCATTGAAAGCTTGTATGATAGAATAAATCGTGGAGTAAGTATAAATGATAAATATTAACCAAGATTGGCACTCAAATTTATTATACTGAATTTTCATAATTGGTGAACCAATATTACAATTTATTTTATTAATTTACCATAAAATAATTTTAGTGAAATTTTATAATTTAATGATGATAAAACATTAATTTTACAAAAATGTGGAGTTTAGTGTATTTCAATCTATTAAATTTAAGATAAATATCATTGTTTTTTAGAAATGTCTACCAACCATTTATAATATCCAAGACATATTTCGTTTAGTCATTGAAAAAATGATTTTTAACAACAATTTTAGTTTATAAATTGTAATTAACTTTTCAAGTATATAATTAAATTGTGTAACTTCAAATTATAACAAATACAATAAATTAGTAATTTAGATCATTAAAAATCATCTTATATTAGTGTAAAATATTTTTTTACATTTAAGTGATGTATGGCTTGTTTAGTTTTTTTTTATTACTTTTATAATCTTTTAAAAAATACAAATAAATTTATATAGTTAATTAATTAATGGTTTACACTTGATCAGGGCCGTCCTAAAGATGAAAATCAAGGGGGGTTAATAATATGAAAAATGCAGACTACAATTTTTTTACCCAATGTATGTAGTATAATTAACTATATGTTGCCGTATTTTTACTTTTTAACATGTATATATGTGTCAGTGTTGCACGTTCTTAAAATTGACAATTTAATTATATATATATATATATATATAATAATATTTTATATTGTATAATAAGTAGTTATATACATTTTATTCATGCATACACTGTATTACGAAATATGTAATATTTGTTTTCCGTAAGTAAAATTAGGTCCTTCTAGGTTATAATTAAGGCTGGTTTAATGTCCTTGAAAATCGCGTAAAATGACCCTAAAAAAATGCAAAAATGACTAAAAAAACAAAAAATGCACTAAAAATTTTTACAAAAATTACATCACATGTACGTAAATATTTTATTTTACTTCATATATTAAAAAATAAAAAATTATTCTTTATTGTTACAATAAATAACGAGAGTGTGTCTCATGTTGTTTTCCAATTAGTTTTTGTAGATATACATATTTTTTTCTTGTTCTTCAATTTGTTCTTTTTGTTGTAAAACGTTTTTTCAACAGCAGCTTTCACATTGTGTACCTTACACAACAACACTAATCCATCGGTAGAAAAATCTATAATCTATAATTTTAAATTCAAAAACACCAAAAAGAACTAAAAATCCCTAAAATGCTCTAAAAAATGAGAAAAATCACCTTAAAATCAAAAATTGTCATAAAATGCAAAATAAAATTTCATATTCTAATTTAAAAATACCTAAAACATATTTGTAACAAAACGAGCATCGTACAGAAAGCTTCAGAAAAATTGCAAATTGCATCGAAATCCCAGCTCAGCTCTAGTTATAATGAAACAAGTTCGATTGCCGACTGGTGTTTTCATTGGGAGGTAAGACCCCCCTCCTTCGGGACGGCCCTGCACTTGATATTATTTAACTATAATATATACAGAATGGGGCAAAACAAACAGTGCAGTTTTGAAAGGATATTAAAAAAAAACTATGGAATTTACAGAAATTATATTTATTTAATTTTATTCAGTACATCATGCCGTTTTATTTATCAAGTTCTAAAAATGACATTAGAAAGATGATGGCCGTCAACAGCGATACATTGATGAAGGTGATTTCTGAAGTTTTCTGCCGCATTTTGACACATTTCAACTGGTATAGCGCTAATTTCCTCCCTAATTCGCTCTCCGAGTTCTTCTAAGATGTGAGGCCAATGCTTAAAAACATTTTCTTTTAGGTAGCCTTACAAGAAAAAATCATAAATGCTTAAGTCCGGTGAGCGCGCGGTCCACCTCACATCACCCCTCAAAGAGACAAGGTGCGTAGGGAACATCTGTGTCGCAGCTTCGTCATTGAAACTCGAGTAGACTCAACTCTTGGACAATCATAATCTTGTAAGAGTGAAAGAATAAGTTTTGATGCAAAATCCTCCTTACTGAGCGGTTAGAAATGCCCAATGCAATTGAATACTTTCGAGCAGAACGCGTAGGCGACTGCACAATAACTTCTCTCATTCTCGTCAAATTTTCGGGGGTTTTTGCCGTCTTAGGTCTTCCTGAACCCCTAGGTTTTAGTGTAGAACCAGTTTCACCAAATGTATGCACCCAATTAGCGATTACATTATGGTGAGTGACGGTATCATGGTGCGCAAGGTTAAACTGCATCTGGAAAGCTCGCTAAGTAGCAATGAAAAATCGACCATTTTCAAAAAACGTACAGACGGTGAAGCCCCCCCGTTGTTCACTAGACTAAACCATGGTAATGACAAATAATGGCATGGCCCGCCCGATGAAATGAAACCATAATCGCACTATCATCACCACACGGGAAGTACCAAACTTTTAAAACTGCACTGTTTAACTTGCCCCGCCTTATATATATATATATAACCTGTGTAATCTGTATACTATAAGATTTAGATTTAATGTTGGGAATAATAATAGATTTGTTTTTATTTTTAAAAGAATATTATTTTTCATTAAAGTATTTAATTAAAAAATATATCTTATATAATGTTAAAATTTTACTTTTAATTACAGAAACAATGGAAAGATATTAGCAGTAAATATGAATAAAGAAATCACGAAAATTTATGATTATAGTTACATAGATCCAATATCAATATTATACTTTAAAATTGTACAATTTAATATAAAATCCTTAATAAAATAAATAAGTTATGAGTTAATGTAATTTTGTTTTTTCTGAGGTATTCTATTTTCCACAATAATTTATCCACTACTTCATACTTATTAATAAACTGTTGTATAAGATGTATAAACACTTACATGTTTAAAAGTTAAAGAATAAATTAAATTATAAATTACGGAAAAAATGAATTTGTACTTTAAAACTTGTGGTAAACTTAAGTTAACATTTTTTAGTGGTAATAGTTTATAACTAAACAAAAATATTTTTCCATCTAAAATATCTTAATATACATGTATAATCAATTTATTATAATTTATAACATTACTAAACACATCAATTAATATTTGCAGTTGGGCTGTACAAGTAAAAATTAAAAAATAACTATCCATGTAGAGTATTAAGTTAAACAACTTATGACTAATAGTAATTTAATGTAATAGTCATCAAGAAATATCTTATCAATGCATCTCTAATTTGTCTGTTAAGTGTTGAATATTGAAGTGTGTAATTAGAAAACAATTGTTCAAGAAAATACTGTAATATAGAAAAAACAATTTCATTGTACTGACAAAAAACGTATTTACTAGGAATAATGGGTCTTTAAATTCATTTATTTGTATTGTAGATAAGGTTCAGTTTTACAAAATAGCAAAAACTTACTAATGGTAATTACATTTTTATGTAATAATTTATTTTCAAGACAGTCAAATTATGCAGTTTTAAAGAAATTCAATTTAATTGTTTTATAATATACAATTTAAAATCAAACAAAAAATCATTAAATTATATAATATATTATTTTATTTGTGAGAACTGTTATGTACTTGCAAAGTATTTTATTACTTACAATGGAAGAGAAAACTTTTTATCTTTTGAAAATATTTTGTCAAGTGTAATAGTACAATAATCAAGTGATTTTCAATTCATTAATTTACAAATATGTACAATATATACAGACTAGAAAATTATAATTATTTTATTTACATATTAAGCACCAATTTAATTGATTTTTATGTTTAAGAAAATATTAGTCAACATTTATTCAAGTCTTAAAATAAGTAAATATAACAAAAAATAAAAATTTTATAATAATATGAAAAATAAAAACACAATAAATTGTTTTCTTCTACCAATTTATAATAACATAGACCATTTTAATATACTTTATATATATATATATATATATGTATAGATAAGAAATATATATTATTAATAACCTGTTTTTCTTAAGGTAACTTTTATAAACAGCCAATCTAATTTTAAAAGACATCAGTTTCTCGAGGTTTTTTAGTTTCCTTTGATTTTCGTCGTAATAAGATTTGCTGTTGATGGTGATATTCAAATGTGTTTTCTGATATTTCTAATTGTACAAGCTAAAAAAAAAAAGAAAAAAAATAGAAATTAAATGATAATGAGCATAATTAAAAATTATTAAATTAAATTACTTTTTTAATAATTTTTTCTTCATTTAACATATGTAATGGAGGATTTCTTAAAGCTTCTAGAGTTTCACACATTGTAGGAAAACGTTTTTTGAGACTAGAATAGGATTTTTCTTGTAATGATATTTTAATCAATATTAAACCCATTTTAAATAATGTTTTAACACCTAAAATAATCAATGAAAAATTAATTGAACTCAGAAAAAACTATTGAATGTAATTACCATGAAATAAAAATATATCCCAAAATCTCAACAAAGTGGGCCATGGCAATGTTCTTGTGAAAGCGCATAAAAACCATTCAGTCATATACATAATTGGATCAATACTTTGTTTTCTCTATAAAAAAAATTTCAATAAAATAATAATTATGAAATTATTTCAATTCTAAAATTAAATAGACTTACCAAAAGTTTATACATATGAGGCTCATAGTTTTTTAATAATGCAAAAAGTATGTTTCCATCTTGGATTAGAGTTTCCTAAAAACAATATTAATTTAAATCAGTTATGATTTTATTAAAATTTTCCATTTACCTAAAAATAGGAAAAAATGTAAATCACCATTCCTGGACTATAGTAATCACGAAGATAATTATCACAAATAGCCACAAAACACCAAAATGCTTGTTCAGCTGGCATGTGCATTAAAAGAAATGCTGCGATTGGTGCTTGTGCTTGACAGTATCCAACTTCAGGTTTCAATATTGTATATGCTTTAAGAACATTAAATAATTCTTTTTGGCTATGAAATAAAATTAAAACTTAAATTTTATTAGTTAAAATTATATAAATATTATGTTATTTACCCAGTTCCATCTTGGTCGACAAACATCTCATGATAAGGAAACTGTCGATGCAAATCTTTCCTTATGTCCTCGATCCACTTTCTTTCTCCTGGTTTATCACATAGTATAAAATAATAATTTTCATGGGCTTGCAACAACTTATGTGCTTTAGTCAAGAATAACCATGCTCTAGGTCTTATTGATTGTGGTATACCTTTTCTACATCTGTTTTGCACCTAAGAAACATCAAAATTACATAATAACAAATTTAAAAGTTATTATGTTGACTATATTAACTTTTTTAATATTCTTGACCATTTGCTTATCCCAATCAGCAGTCATATTTAGCCATTTCCTTTCACGTTCTTTGATTTTGTTAGGTGATATCAATTGTTTCCTACAATAATTCATTTAATTATTATAAATTCACACAGTTATGACATAATCAAAGATGTACCTATGTAGAAAGTGAAGACATTTTTCTCACACATTGAACTAGGATTAGTAAGAAGATATATAACTTTATAAAAGTACATGTTTATTTATTGAATTGCAATGTTGTATTAATGTAATAACCTTAATTGTACAATTTTTATACTAAACCAAACAGGAAGTATGTATTGCACACACTATAGCATACTAAATAGTTAATGACTACAAGAGGATTTAACTTCCTGTGTACAATAATTTTTGAGTTATTATCAATATGATGCATAATAATATATTGCTAGTATACAGTTATAATATTGAACTAAGTACGAATATATAAAATAAACACTATAAAAGCAAAAATAAAACTAAATTTAGTACAAGTTAAAATTACTTTTTCTGTAATAGAAATAATCATAATAACTATAAGATAGGTGAAAGTTTTGCATTGTTGAGATAAAGAAAGTTTGTAAATACCAGTTGGAAACCAAAGAAGGCCAGAAAAAATAAATAAAATAATAACTTAGGAATGGTTAAAATATTAATATATTAAGATAAAATAAATTATACTGAGATTTTTTTTTTCATTAGTATTAAATAATATGAATTGTAATAATAATGAGTTTCTGAAAAAAAAAAAAAATAGCAATTAAAATAGAAATATTACATTATGTTTAACCTATATCATTCATAATTGTTTTAGCAGAAAATTCTAGAAATAAAAAAAAATGTTATTTTTTTTAAGGTTATCTAAAATTAATAAATCCAAAATTGATAATGTAATTAAATTTAAAGATTCAAGAAAAAAAAATTAATCAATTCTAGATTTGTAAATATTAAAAACCTCAGTACTACAACTGTTATACATGTGTTATCATGAAACAATGAAATATTATTAATCCTACGATTAATTACATTTTGTTAAGAAACAACATTGTGTATACTACAGTAAAATAAACATTATGCAGAGCCAAAAATGCTGTTACTGGGAATAAAAATTGACTCATTCAGTCAAAATCCTATACATATGAAATTTGTATTCTGACTAATTTAATATTAAAGGAAAATATTTTCAACCCAAGAATATTAGTAACTAAATAAACGAATTATAATCTGTCTATTATTCACATATTATTAGCAGGGTACACTATAATCACATTATTATTCAATTTAGTGACATATGAATATCCTATAGTTTACAGAACTTAGTACTAAATATATAGTATTAAATATTTCTTCTTTAAAGAAAAAAACAATTGGACTATCTAATACATAAAAAAAATGTTTCACGAGCACAGGATCATATTAATATAACCAATTTAAAGAACACCCGGTGCTACCATTCTTTACAAATAGCTATTCATAATAGAATAATACCGTGCAGAACATGTCACAGCACTTACGATTCCATCAGGTACTGGGTACCACCAAAGAAGCCGTGCCTGTCAGCCACTGTGGATACCAGGGAGCCGTCGGGAGCCAAAGACGAGCTGACCTCGGAGTACTTGTCTTCATCTTCGTCGATGTAATCGTTCTCCATCTGGGCTAGAGCCGGTGAACTGGTGTCTTCGGAGTCCCGTTTCGTGTACCTGTTGAACGCGATCACATGAGTATGGGGTGTATGGTTGAGTTATGTCGATAACTAATGCGGCAGGGGTGGTTGGGCATTTGAAATGTGGGAAAACTTCGGTCTAGGGTAGCGACCGTCGTAAACGGGATAGAGAAAAACTGTTGATAACACGCCCACAGCGGTTTGTCATCAATTACACATTGCCGTGTACAGTTGAATCGTACACGTTCACGCGGAAACCATTGGAAACGGCCAACTCACCTGGTGGTCTGCATCATTGCGTCGTCGGGTGACACGCACTTCGTATCAGACCATCGTGGTCGACGGACGACAAACAGCGCACGGCGGCGGTAGGGTGGACGCGCGTCGAGTCCGGCGCTGAGCGATGTACCTCCGACGTGCGTTGTCACCGCGTTCGGTTGTTATTACCTGTGCCGCTGGTACGAGAATCCGCCAAGGCCGCGTAACGACGGCAGCGGAGGGAGTTCTCGGAACGCACACGCACAGAAACGTAGCGATCGGCACGCGCACCACGTACGACTGGCACACTGCCGCCGATCATTGCTGGCAAACGCAATCGCGTATGGTATTTCGCTGCTAATTGTCGGCGGCGGCGGCCAGCGCAACGGTGCATTAGATAGCGTACGGCGAATTCCAGTGCGGCCCACGGTGACGAACCATATGTATATATATTTATATGTGCATGTGTATATCAGCGGTGGTGGTGTCGCACGTTCTAATAATAGAGCGCCGTTACAATGGCCGTTGAATATTATTGTTGTTATTATAATACCACTCGTCGCGCACTGACGTACCATCGACAACAACAACAACAATAGTGTTCTCGTCGCATTCGTAACAAATTATCGCTCTGTAATTGCTCAACGATATTGCTGCACGCCCCGGATGCTCGATAAGCAACGTCCACACCTAAAGGTCCGCTCAAACCGAAGCGGTATTTATCGCTTTTTAAATACCGCTGATCTAACCTAACCGGAGAGCGAAATATTTCGCCAAAAATTACTAGTCGACATTATGACACCTATGCGTGTACATGTATTTTAGTTATTATTATTATATTTTTATTTATTAATATTAATATTTTAAAGTACAAAATTACTATTTTAAATATAATCCCAAATATAATCTTTTTTCCTCGTATCCTTGAATTCTGGAAGTTTCATATTATATATGATGGATATTCTTTAACAATAGCTATTAATTGTTCAATTTTATTGGTCATTTTTATTATTAATAATACATTTTAAACAAGAGAATCATACATTCAAACACCACGACGTAAGATTCAACTGCAAGGTGTACGATTACGATGAATAGATATGTGTTTGTATATAAAGTCAAAATATATCATACAATGTAATGATAAGCTTTCTATAGATATTAATATATTAATAATAAAATGTAGATCACTCATAGTTGGGAATTTAAAACTGATTATCATAGCGGTAAGCAAGGGCATCTATATGGGAGGGGAGCAAGGGAGAGACATGCCCCCCCCCTGGAAAATATCAAAAATCTTGGAAAATTGTTTACTATGATCAGAATATAATTGAATAGAATTTAAAAATTTAATTTAATATATGAAAATCTATAATTTGTTTACGAAAAATCTATTTATTTAGTTTGGAATATTAGGTTATCAGTTATAAATAACAATACGCTTTTTCGTTTATATTCCATGGATAACTATCATTCTTAAAATATTGTGTTTCCAGAAATACGGTATGTATATCAGTGCCGTAACTAAAAAATAGGAGGCCCGTGTGCGGTAATTAAATTGGGCCCCTTCCTAAGATTTATTTTTGTTCAATTTAAGTATCAAATTTTTAGGTTTTAAAGCACGTTTTACATCAGTTAGTGCAGTGGTCTTCAACCGGTGGGTCGCGATAAGTTTTCTATTAAACAATTTAAAAAAATCATATTTATATATATATATTATATAATGTATGTCATATGATATTACATAAAAATGTTTTCGAATAAACCCGAAACCATAGTATTTTATACTATTTTAAATTTGTAGAAGATTAGAATGAACACTTTTTTCTTAAACACTCATACTTAATTAGAAAAATTCCTCAAACCAATACGCAACACATACCATTAATCATTAACTGTCGAACACATAGTGGAGAAGTGTACACAATTTACCTCAATACGCACCGACCTGAACATGCCATCCAACATAGTAAAAGTACTAAGCGAAAAACAAACTAAAAATTTGTCACATTATTAAGTATCACAAATATATTAGTAAATCTTAATTTACATCTAACTTCACCTTTATAATATTTCATATGTAATATTGTAATTTTAAATTAACACCTAACACATCAAATATTTAATATCTAATAGCTAATAATATTTGCTGTTGAAGCCTCAATTTTCAAATAAAAGAAAAAAAGAATGAACAATCAAATGAAGTGATAGCCCGACCTAATTTATAAATCTTATTTACATTTCATATATTTATAAACTATATTGTGTTAAATTGAGCTGAGGTTGAGATATTTCACATGAAAACAGTCCAGGACAAATATCGCAATCATTTCTTTTGTGTATCAAAACATATATATTTTTCTTTATCATTATATGCATTTTTTTTTTTTGTATCATTACTTATATTAAAAATTAAATATTTCCTAAATACCTAAAAAATATAAATTTTGATTTATTCAGTTATAAAAACACTTCTAAAATGGCATACATTAAACAATTGTAACTTTTTTATTTGGTTTTCACGGCTAACGAAATTTACACGGGTCCCGAAAAATGTTTGGTAAGAAAAGTGGGTCGCAGGTCGAAAAAGGTTGAAGATCACTGAGTTAGTGTATGATATATATATATATATATATCATGGGCGTCCCCAGACATTTTTCTAGGATGGGGTGGGGGGGCAAAATTAAATAAATTTACTACATAAATATAGTGAACTATAATATACAACAGTTATAGGCAGTGATGTATTGCTAAAATAAATCATGGGTACACGCCTTATTTCATGTAGTAACTATCATATGGTAGGAACCAAAAAAATGTTTTCTCGCTTTGCTCAAACAATATTCACTTTACTTGTATTCACTTAAAACCTAATAGAATATTATACTTTTGTATTTATTCTATAATACTTCTACATGCTAAATAAATGGACTAATTATTTTATTAAGTGGTTATTGATTTTTAATTTAACCACTATTCATATCTCTATCTATTTTTAAAGTTAGAAAGCACGTCTTTATGGTGTACATTTATAACGTGACATACAAAAAAATTTCAGGCTTCGCTTATATTTTATATCATGTTTATTACTGTGACATTGACAAAAAAATTTCATCAAAAAAAAAAATAGATCATGGTTACTTTTTTTTTACGTCAGTATTTTTCAAAGACTTGTTTTGTTTTGAATTTGTTTCACTATTCGGATCTACATATGGGTGACATCATTTACTTCTATTGTCTTCTGCTGATCTATGATTTATCACCCACGAATTCACATAGTCTTTAGGATCCCACTATTTTAATTAAAACTTGTTAAATGAAAACAAATTTGAATTTTTCATAAAAAAAAAAAGAAAAAATATTATTATATCCGATACCGAATCACGTCATAAATATAACCAAAAGTTTTACTATTTATATTTGTCAAATTACAAGCTATACGCTAGATACGGCTGCATACCCGCGTATCATTAATTTCTCATAAGCTATACGCCATGGATAAAAATAGCGTAGTGGGTATATGCCGTATACCCCCGTATACCCTCCAATACACCACTAATTATAGTTATTTAGTTTGATATATATACATCATGGGCGTCCCCAGGGGGGGCAAGACGGGGCACTTGCCCCTCTTGGAATGTTATTTCCACAGCAATTGGTAACATTTCCAATGAGAAATTAGCTTCTAAAAATCATTTTTAGAACAATTCAAATCAATTTTTATACCATATATTGAATCAATTTTACAATCTATAAAAGAACGTTTTGAAAAAAAGAAATTGATAATGCATTTTTACTACAATATCTTCATCCCAACATTTTTAAAAAATTGAAGAAAAAAATGTATTTTGAGAGCATTGAAAACATTTTTGATTTCTATAAAATTGATAATCTACAAGCTGAAGCAGAAAGTTGGTACAGTTTTTGAAAAAATAAGGACTGCTAGGATATTGATTTCATCGATTTGTTAAATTGTAACTGTACGTTTTTTCCAAGTATAGCTGTTGCTTTGGATATATTTTGTCTCTTCAGGCTACAAGCTGTATAGCAGAACATTCTTTTGGTACATTAAGGTGTGTTAAAACATGGTTACGATCAACGATGGGTGATGATAGACTGAGTGGAATATGCATGTTGAGTATTCATAGAGAAAAAGTAAATTCAGATAAAGAAAAATTTATTGAAAATGCAGATACTAGATTGATAAATTAAAACGTTGTCCCCCATTTTAGAATTTTCTTTTGGGCGCTCTTGGCAGTAAGCAAAAAATATAGTGTCTGCAGCGAAAAATAAAAATATCACGCTCAATCTTGCGGTAATATTTTTGCCGCGGTATTAATTTTTCAATAGTGAGTGCGCTCCTATTAAAACGTATGGACATTACATTTCGCTGCCGCTACCGCCATCGCTACCGCTCGGTTTGAGCGGACCTTAACAAGGATTTTAAAAACGTTTAGTCGGACGTACGTCAAACATCCAAAATATCCAATAAACATGTTCGTCGAACGTTTGGTCGGTATAGACGTTTTCCCACACAGAGTTGTCGCTAATTATTCGAACATTATGCATTATGGCATATATTTTTTGAGGTATTCGGACAATTGACACCCGGCGGTTTTGTCGATATCGGACTTTCTGTTCCTAATAAAAAATCCCTCAATCAACCACATCCAACTTCACCTCGCCAAATCGCTAGGAGACACTTAAAGTAACGGACATTAAAGATAATATCGAAATAACGGACCAAACCAACAAAATTTCTCCCCCTAATCCGCCACCAATTTTCATCACTACGTCGATTTATTTTAACGATGCAAATCTATATTATCGATCACGGGTGTAAATGGTTTCAAGTGCAAATCGACCACAAAACACTTAAAACTCACAATCAAAATCATCCTTTCTCACGTTATCTCTAAGACCAAGAGACTGTCCCTCGGTGTCGCTCAAAAATATTCGAATTCCCACTACCCCAACAATAAAATACCTAGGTTTAACTTTTGACAGACACCTAACATGGGTCTATCACCTTAAAAACAAAAGAAAAACAGTAAACTCTAGACTTCACTTGCTCCGCCCACTTCTACGCTCTAGGATAGCAATCAGTAACAAACTACTAATATATAAAGTAATTATTAGACCTGTGTGGTCCTACGGCATCCATATATGAAATTCTGCCAAACCCTCTAATACGAGAAAAATTCAGGCATTCCGGTCAATTTGTCTGCGGCGTCAAATTGTCTCAGCACCATAGTACATCACGAATAACAATCTCCACAAGGACCTAAATATTCCATCGCTTGCTCAACTAACTCTCACTACGCCTCCTTCCATTCCAAGTTACTTCATTACAACAATCCAATAACAAAACGCCCATCTTCTATTACAA